TATGACACAGCAGCTCCAAAAATGAATATTCTCTATATTTGCAGCTCTATATAGTGATCACATCTTACAGAATAGAATAGAATGGAATGGAATGGAATGGAATAGAATAGAATAGAATAGAATAGAATAGAATAGAATAGAATAGAATAGAATAGAATGCAGAATATAACTGAACAGAACAATAGAATGCAGAATAGAATAGAATAGAATGCAGAACAGAATAGAATGCAGAACAGAATAGAATAGAATGCAGAATAGAATCGAATAGAATAGAATAGAAATACAGAACAGAACCGAATAGAAATATAGAATAGAACAGAATAGAATGCAGAGTAGAACAGAATAGAATGCAGAATATAATAGAATAGAATAGAATGCAAATAGAATAGAATAGAAATACAGAACAGAACCGAATAGAAATATAGAATAGAATGGAATGGAAATACAGAATAGAATAGAATAGAATAGAATAGAATAGAATAGAATAGAATAGAAGCTGGAAGGGACCTTGGAGGTCTTCTAGTCTAGCCCCTGCTCACGCAGGAGGACCTATACCTGTACCATCTCAGACATGTGATTGTCCAGTCTCTTTTTTAAAACGTCCCCACCATTTCTGGGGGCAAGCAGTTCCACTGGTTTATTGTCCTCACTGTCAGGAAGTGTCTCCTTAATTCCGTAACAGAATAACAGAGCTGCCATAGAGAAGAGGGGGTCAAACTATTCTCCAACACATCTGAGAGCAGAACAGGAAGTAACATGTGGAAGATCATTAAAGAGAGAGAGCTGACCTAGAACTAAGGAGAAATTTCCATCCCACGTCCTTAATAACACGAATTGCTTTCAACTGCTACTTCTTTCAAAGAAGGAGCGTTTTCTAACCACGACTTCAAAAATCGTTTAAATTCACTCCCAATGGAATCCCAGAAAGATGTGAAACCTCATCCAGTGTATTTAATATCAACACGACTTTGCCTGAGAGTTTGCGTGAGGGAAATAGGGCCTCCCATAAAATGACTTTTAAATTCAATCCTATCAGAATTTCCCTAGTACATGAAATGTTGTGCAGTGTGTTTAATATAAACATTATTGACCTGGAACTCACAGTTCTTTCATGTGGGTGAGAGGCTAAATCTGAAAAAAAAAAAATCATTTCAAAACTAATTTACATTCATTCAGTTTACATTCATGGTTAAGGCACTAGGCTGGGTGCCAGCTGGGTGACCTTGGGCCAATCACGCTCCCTCGGCCCAGCCCACCTCACAAGGGGGTGGTTCTGGGGAAAATAGGAAGAGGAAATAGTATTGTGTGTGTCTGTTGCCTTGAATTATTTGTAAAAATAATAGGAGATAGATGATTGATAGGTAGATAGGTAGATATAACATTGAGAATATTGAGATGATAGATGATATATAAGATAGAGATGATAGATGATAGATAAAATATTGAGATTAATGGATTGGATGGATGGATGGATGGATTGTGTGTGTCTGTTTCCTTGAATTATTTGTAAAAATAAGTCAGGAGATAGATGATAGAGAGGTAGATAGGTAGATATAATATTAAGAATATTGAGATGATAGATAAAATAGAGATGACAGATGATAGATAAAATATTGATAGAGAAATAGATGGATAGATAGATAGATAGATAGATAGATAGATAGATAGATAGATAGATAGATAGATAGATAGATGGATGGATGGATGATAGAGATATAAACATTCCTATCCAAATCCCAATAATATATCAAATATTCTGCAGTTCCAAACCTCCAGAGAGGTTTTTTCACTCTGGGTCATAATATTAATCCATGTGTGTACGTGATGCCCTTGTTCAGAATTTTGCTAACATGAATAAAACAATGAAAAGAATCAGATAATATTTTGCTCTTACAAAAATAATTATTATAAAAATAAAGAAAATCTATCAAGTTACGGGTGAATTAGAAAAAGGGTTGGGCCACACAATGAATGAAAATATTGGGCTTCTTTCTGCTCACGCAGGATGTATATACTGTAAGGGTGATGCAGTAACTCTCAAGGTGTGGTCCACAGATGTTCAGCAGGTGGTCTGGTGTGGTTTCCCAGATTCGTACGCAACGCCTGGTTATTATCTTAAACCTGCTTCCCCACCCACCCAGCACACCAGCTAGCAACAGCTGCCTTGCCCCATCATGCCTAGTAAAAGTTGAGGCATTAATGCCAACATCTGATTTGCATGATGGGATGAGAGATTAGTTCACTGATGTGTACAAGAGATAACACAAGTAACAGCATGTGTGCTAAAATTCAGAAAGTCAACAACACCAAATAGCCCTTCTCAAGGTCAGTTACCACCTGCTGCCTGAAATGAAATTGGGCCCTTGGATAAAAATAGAAAGGATGCTGGTGAATCTCTGAAAAAACTAGATAGATAGATAGATAGATAGATAGATAGATAGATAGATAGATAGATAGATAGATAGATAGATAGATAGATAGATAATGGATGGATGGATGGATTGATGATAGATAGATAGATGGATGGATGGATGGATGGATGGATGGATGGATGGATTGTGTTTGTCTGTTGCCTTGAATTATTTGTAAAAATAATAAAATCAGGAGATAGATGATAGATAAGTAGATAGGTAGATATAACATTGAGAATATTGAGATGATAGATGATAGATAGATGATAGATAGATATAGATGAATAGATAGATATATGGATTGATGATAGATAGATAGATAGATAGATAGATAGATAGATAGATAGATAGATAGATAGATAGATAGATAGATGGACGGACGGACGGATGATAGATGAATAGATAGAGGTAGACAAACAGATAGATAGATAGATAGATAGATAGATAGATAGATAGATAGATAGATAGATAGATAGATAGATAGATAGATAGGAAAGGGAAGGGAAAGGAAGGAAAGGAAAGGAAAGGAAAAAAGAAAAAGAAGAGAAAAATAAAGAAAAAAGGAAGAAAGAAAGAAAGAAAAAGAAAGAATTGGGCTAAAATTGTTAAAATAACACAGGACATAATAAATGTACCAAAGCTGTGGGAAACTCGGCATTAGGAAATCAAAAAAATTCAGCATATGCTTAAGTTTAGAGGTTAAGCCTTTTAATAAAAAATTTTGTTTTAAATGTATTTAAAACAATTCTATTCTATTCTATATTTCTATTCTATATTTCTATTCTATTCTATATTATCCTATATTTCTATTCTATTCTATCCTATATCCCCTGAATTAAACTGTATGGGTTAAGCACCCCAGGATAAGTATCTTTACCAGGGAGCAAAGCAGATGATGCTTGCTGGCCCCACCAAGAGAATAAACCTGAAATTGCAATGTTTGTATATTTTTCAAAAATATAATCTCCAAGATTGAGAATTTCCAAAATGGGCAGCGCTTCTTACAGATTATCCAGCCCTGCAGAAGCGGGATGGAGAAGTTAAGGCATGTTGAGCAGATGAATCTACACAACAAGCATGGCCTTGCTTGATTTAGAAATACAGAAGAATTTCTCAATAAACTTTTAATTCTGTTTCCCATGAAAACATCTCCCTCTTGCCAGCCAAGAGCCTCTTCCCGCACACAGCAAAGCTGCAGGGAAAAGAATAGCCGAGTAACATGCCTTTACTGCTTTACTCAACTTGCAAATTGAACCCCAAATTTCCGTTGCTAAGCAAGACGGTTGTTAAGTGAGTTTTGCACAATGGTGGGATTCAAATAGGTGAACAACCGGTTCTCTGCGTGGATGTCGCTTCCGGAAAGTCCATTCTGGGCCTGGGCAACCAAAAATTAGCTACCGGTTCTGCCGAAGTGGTGCGAACCGGCTGAATCCCACCATTCTATCTATCTATCTATCTATCTATCCATCCATCTTTCATCAATCAATCTATTTTTCTTTCTTATCTATCTATCTATCCATCCTTCTTCTTTATCTCATCAATCTATCAATCTATTTTTCTTTCTTATCTATCTATCATCTATCTATCCATCCATCCATCTTTCTTCATCTCATCAATCTATCAATCTATTTTTATCTATCTATCTATCTATCTATCTATCTATCTATCTATCTATCTATCTATCTATCTATCTATCTATCTATCTATCTATCTATCTATCTATCTATCTATCTATCTAACCAGTGGTTGGATTCAAATATGTGAACAACCGATTGTCTGTGTGGACACCAAGTACAGGAGACTAATAACAACAACAGAGTTGGAAGGGACCTTGGAGGTCATCTAGTCCAACCCCCTGCTCAGGCAGGAAACCCTATCCCATTCCAGACAAGTGGCTGTCCAGTCTCTTCTAAAAAAAACCTCCAGTGATGGAGCGCCCACAACTTCCAGAGGCAGGTCGTTCCACGGGTTAACTGTTCTAACCATTAAACCAGTGGTTCTCAATCTTTTTAATGCCGTGACCCCCCAACAGGTCGTAAGTCGAGGACTACTCAACTGGTGCAGCACCGTTTGCAGAATGGGACTTTTGGCGGGCTCAGCAGGGCAGAGACAGCCTGGACAATTCCTATTGGCTTTGGAAAGCCAACAGAATTAGACTCTATTCAAGAGAGTCTATTCTATTGGCTTTCAAAAGCCAATAGAATAAAAGGGAGTAGCACAGCTAAGGAAAAGGGGGGAAAAAATGGCGGACAGCCTTGTTTGGAGACCCCCGTGAAATGGTCGTTCGACCCCAAATGGGGTCCCGACCCACAGGTTGAGAACCACTGCATTAAACCATCAGACCATCATTCGTTCTAATGTTTCAGAAGAGGAATTGTTCTTAAAAAAAAAAAAAGAAACCTCTCCAACTATCCCCCCTCCTCTCTTTTCCAGGTCAAAAACGCGAAAGCTGAGGGAAAATCACCCAGGCAAAGGCCGACTCCCAAGGGCGAACTACCACTCCCGGCAGCCTTTGCTCCCAGGCGTGCGCGGCCCCGCCCTCCCAGCCCCGCCCGCGAGGCCCACGGTCGGGCTGGCCGAACGAGTGGGCGGGGCGGAGGGAGGAGCCTCCCCCGCCGAGCGGGCGGGGCCGAGAGCCTGCCCGGGGATCTGGAGCGCGAGCGGCGCAGGAGCCGCGGCCGGTTCGGCGGCGCTTCCAGGCCGAGCGGAGGCGGCGCAGGTGAGCAGCGCGTGGCCGGCCGGCTGGCCGGGCTCGGATCGGGCAGGGCAGGCGGCGGCCGCGTTCTCCCTTCCTCCGCCGGGCAGGAGCCGGGATGCGTGTCCGGCTCGGGGCTTGTTTGGAGGGCTTTGCTTTTTGCAAGGTCGAGCTGGCTTCCTCCCTGCCCGAGAAAGGGCCGGTGGTGGTGGTGGTGGGGGGTCCTTGCTTCCTCTCCCCCCCCTTTTTGCAACGAGAAGCCCACTCCGGTTGCAAAAAATCAAGCGTGCACGGGTTTCCCCCCGTCCTCCTCCTCCTCCCGGCGCGTTCAGACGACCATCCTGGGATATCCCCGCCGCGGGACTTTTTCTATTGAAGGGTCAATTGGAGCCCACCCGGGTTGCGGGGGAGAGGAGGACCTTTGCAAGACGTGATGGCAGCGAGGGAGGAGGGAGAAAGCCGGTCTTGTGAAGGCCGTCTCTGCTGGAGATGCGTGTTGGGTGGGTTGTGCGAAAGGCACGCGAACCGATTCGAGGAGCTTCCCTCCCCCCCCCCCCGAGCTTCGTTTGAGGGCAGCTGCAGCCCGGAAAGGGAAGGATTTCAGCCTTATGTCCTAAAGTGTGCCCCCCCCTTTTAATAGGTTCAGACGTTGGAGGGAAAACACGTCTGAATTCGGTTCGCGTTTGAGCCCTTTTGCTAGTTCTGGGGCATGTGGGGGTTTTGGAGGGTTTGCCTCGCAAAAAATCTATTTTGGGGGAAAGAGGTATTTTGTTATTGTAATGGAGGAGGTCCTTTCTTTTTCTTTCTTTCTTTCTTTCTTTCTTTCTTTCTTTCTTTCTTTCCTTCCTTCCTTCCTTCCTTCCTTCCTTCCTTCCTTCCTTTCTTTCTTTCCTTCCTTCTCTCTTTCTCTTTCTTTCTTTTTCTTTCTTTCTCTCTCTCTTTCTTTCTTCTTTCCTTCTTTCCTCCCTCCCTCCCTCCCTCCCTTCCTCTTTCTTTCTCTCTCTCCTCTCCCTTTTTCTTTCTTTCTCTTTCTTTCATTCTCTCTTCTCTCTCTTTTTCTTTCTTTCTTTTTCTCTCTCTTTTCTCTTTCTTTCTTTCCTTCTTTCCTTTCTTCCTCCCTCCCTCCCTCCCTCCCTTCCTTCCTTCCTTCCTTCCTTCCTCTTTCCTTCTCTCTCTCCTCTCCCTTTTTCTTTCTTTCTCTTTCTTTCATTCTCTCTTCTCTCTCTTTTTCTTTCTTTCTCTTTCTCTCCTCTCTTTTTCTTTCTTTTTTGATGGGTTGTAGACAAAATATTACTCCTTTTACAAACTTTTTTTTTTTTACAAACCGTTTTACAAACTTTTAGTGGCGGGTCTGAATTATGAAATGAAATGATGACTTAGGAAGAACTCAACAGGAAATTTGCCGCCCTCCACATGCCTTCTTAATGGCAGTCCTGTGAGATGGATTAGCTTCTGTCGGAGTTTGGCAAAACTTGGGCTTTGAAAGTGTTTTTCGACAAGCCCGGATTGGGAATCCGGCTTTAATTGGTTCGCATGTTTTATGTTGGACCCTTTCGAACTGTTTTTCTTAATCCGGGCTCGCCCTGTGGATTTTTCTATAAATTCTGCAGGTCACCTGATTTCCCTCCGTCTTCTTCCCTGTAACCGTTTTATAGCTACTTCTTAATTTTTTTTTTCCCCTTCTCTGTCCTTCCTTTCTTGCATCACTTGTGTGCCTAATCATGCTTTATCAGGAGGATATGTTTTGCATGGTGTACCCAAACGCATTGTAAGCAGAGGAGAATCGGGTGACTAAAGTATTTTAACTATACACAGTGGAAGGTTGCAATTGAACCATTGCTCTGCTCGAGTTAGCAACCACACCAAAAGTCATTATAGTCGTTTATGACCACAATAAAGCTGGGCTCATGGGACACACAATTGCACATTAATCCAGCAGAGATTACCACGCTGAGTTGCACATCCTTCTATTCCACGCTTCAGTGTACAGTAATCCTTGACTTACAACAGTTAGTGACCGTTCAAAGCTACAACATCACTGGGGAAAAAAGTGACTTGGAACCATTTTTTTTCACACTTAACCTTTACGGCAGTGTTTCTCAACCTTGACAATTTTAAGGCATGTGGACTTCAACTCCCAGAATTCCACAGCCAGCATTGCTGGCTGTGGAATTCTGGGAATTGAAGTCCACATGCCTTAAAATTGTCAAGGTTGAGAAACACTGCGTTACGGGGTCACGTGATCAAGATTCAGACGCTTGGCAACTGACTCATATTTATGACGGTCGCAGTGATCCCCTTTGGCGATGGAAAATCGATGGAAGCCAGCTTCACTTAACAACCGGGTTACTAATTTAACAAGCGCAGCAATTCACTTCAACGACGGTGACAAGGAAGGTCGTAAAATGGGGCTAGACTCACTTAACAAACGTCTCCCTTAGCGACCGAATTTTGGGGCTCAATTGTCGAGAACCACCTGCGTTGTGTAAACTCAGAAATGTGGGATCCTTAGGATTGTTTAGAGATGGACAAGCCTCTCCGTGAATAAAAATTAGGGTGATTTAGCGCACAGGAATTCCAAATGGATTTATTTCCCGTTATTTCTCAAATGCCGCCGTTGCCTCCGACATGACAGATTGGCTTGAAAATTTTCCTTTCACGCATCTTCTTTTTTTTTTTCTACTACTTTATCAACTTTTTCTAACAATGTTGCTCCTTGTTTTGGTCTGTTTTTTTTCCCTTCTATGTTTGAAATTCTTTGGACACTTAATAATAATAATAATGTTGGAAGGGATTTTGGAGGTCATCTAGTTCAACCCCCTGCTCAGGCAGGAAACCCTACACCATTTCGGACAAATGGCTGTCCAGTCTCTTCTTAAAAACTTCCGGTGTTGGAGCATTCACTGCTTCTGGAGGCAGATGGTTCCACTGGTTAATTGTTCTCACTGTCAGGAAGTTTCTCCTTAGTTCTAGGTTGCTTCTCTCCTTGATTAGTTTCCATCCGTTGCTTGTTGCCCTGCCTTCAGATGCTTTGGGGAATAGCTTGACTCCCTCTTCTTTGGATCAACCCCTGAGATACTGGAAAACTGTTTGTTGGAAACCTGCTGGGAGAATCCCAGAACGACAATCGCACAGCCCCGGGACACTGCACCTGTTGTAAATACCTGTTGGGAACTGATCCAAGAGAGAAGCAACCTGGTGTTAACGGGGAATTTCCTGTTTCTCATTAAAAAGTCACTCCCCCCCCCCCCGTGCTGTTGTAATATGGCCGGCTAGGGGATTCTGGGAGTTGAAGTCCACAGGTTGCCAAAGTTGGACAACTCTGCCTGTAGACTGTGGTCCTCAGTAGCCACTTTGTTGTGTTATCTGAATTATTTCCTTAATGATTGCTTTCAATTTCTCATTGCGAGCTGGGCAGCCTGTAAGCAGAAGAAATGAATAAGACACAAAGGATGCAGTGGAAAGGAAATGAAAAGGCGATCAGTTGTGGCGGTGCGTGCATTTAAAGCAGTGGTTCTCAACCTTTTTAATGCCGCGAACCCCAACCGGTCGTAAGTCGAGGACTACTCAACTGGTCGTAAGTCGAGGATTACTCAACTGGTGCAGCACCGTTTGCAGAATGGGACTTTTTGGCGGGCTCAGCAGGACAGAGACAGCCTGGACAATTCCTATTGGCTTTGGAAAGCCAATAGAATTAGACTCTATTCAAGAGACTCTATTCTATTGGCTTTCAAAAGCCAATAGAATAAAAGGGAGTAGCACAGCTAAGGAAAGGGGGGAAAAAATGGCGGACTGCGTTGTTTGGCGACCCCCGTGAAATGGTCGTTCGACCCCAAATGGGGTCCCGACCCACAGGTTGAGAACCACTGATTTAAAGGGTTGGAAAGAACATACGTGCTCAAAGCAGTTTGAAATTAGCAAATTCATTTCAACTTTGAGCAGATCTGGCCGGGTGGATCTGGGTACTTGAGCACCCAAAATGTTCAGATAGAAACATGAAGACGTGTGCTTAGAGCAGGGAGATCTCTGCTGGATATTTTTAATATAAAAGCGGAATGGATTTCATAAGCGTCGAATTGCAAGGAGCAGAATCCAGCCAAAACCTCTGCAGAATAATAAACATGCGGCTATAAAGCCTCACAGAGAATTAATGTCTTGCTTCCTGAAACGCATCATTTCAAAATTGATGTGTCAGCTTGTTAAAGGAAACTCGATGTTCTGTAAATTGGGAATGTTTGTGCCACATTTGAATCATATTTCAGTTCCTAGAAGAAGGGTTATTGAGAAAAACAAGGGTTATCAGTAAGCAGTGTTCCTTATGTTGGTAGAACAGATCTGAACTCCCATCTAACCATGGCTAATAGCTCAGGAGGACACCAAGTACAGGAGAGTAAATAACAACAACGATAATAATAATAGAGTTGGAAGGGACCTTGGAGGTCATCTAGTCCAACCCCCTGCTCAGGCAGGAAACCCTATGCCATTTCAGACAAATGGCTGTCCAGTCCCTTCTTAAAAATTTCCAGTGTTGGAGCATTCGCCGCTTCTAGAGGCAGGTTGTTCCACTGGTTAATTGTTCTGACTAACAGGAAGTTTCTCTTTAGTTCCAGGTTGCTTCTCTCCTTGATTAGTTTCCATCCGTTGCTTCTTGTCTTGCCTTCAGGAGCTTTGGAGAATAGCTTGACCCCCTTGTCTTTGTAGGAGCCCCTCAAATATTGGAAGACGGTTATCATGTCTCCCCTAATCCTTCTTTTCATTAGACTAGGCCAGGGGTAGGCAACCTTGGCTCTTTTATGACTGGTGGACTTCAACTCCCAGAATTCCTGAGCCAGCCGTGCTGAGGGGAAAGGGAGAAGTTTCCAAGCTGAGCCAGGCTGGCTCAGGAATTCTGGGAGTTGAAGTCCACGAGTCATAAAAGAGTCAAGGTTGACTACCCCTGGATTAGACATACCCAATTTCAGCCACCGTTCCTTATATGTTGTAGCCTCCAGTCTCCTAATCAACTTTGTTTCTCTTCTCTGTACTCTTTCTAGAGTCTCAGCATCTTTTTTACATCGTGGTGACCAAAACTGGACGCCGTATTCCAAGTGTGGCCTTACCAAGGCTTTGTAAAGTGTTATTAACACTTGACGTGATCTTGATTCTATTCCTCTGTTAATGCAACCTAGAACTGTGTTGGCTTTTTTGGCTGACTGCCGCACACGACTTGCTCATATTTAAGTGATTGTCCACTAGGACTCTGAGATCCCTCTCACAGTTTCTACCATTAAGCCAAGTTTCACCTCGTCTATACCTATAGAGTTGTTTTTTCTTGTCTAAGTGTAAAATCTTACTTTTATCTACGATGAATTTTGTTTTGTTAGATAGGGCCCAGTGTTCAGATTCACACATCTGAATGACTTCAGGTTGGGGGAAAGAATGACTTTGCTATATCAATATTAACTGCAGCTACAATTTCTCCAAAGATGGGCCATTTTCATCCAGAGAAAATACGGTGGCCCAAGCTACAGAAATATTGCTCTTCTCTTTCCTTCTCTTGTTATTGGCACGTGCTAGGTAACTCAACCTCAATCCCAACTTTGAATCTACGTTGACTTTGGGGCGCTAAGGACTTAATTAAAAAGTTCTCCTGCTTTTTATGGCAGCTGCCAAATGAAATGGGTTGGTCCAGGAATCGGCCTGAAGAACATTTTGATAAGGCCTAAAGAACATTTTGATATGACCATTGATGTTTCTAGAAACAATGGGGGGAAAACTAGTGAAGAAATTAAATCATATTTGCCTAGAGGAAGATAGGCTGGACATGTTGAGCAAGAACTAAAGCCACCGGTTATCTAAATGAATCATGGAACATTTGGGTGTAGAATAGTCAGTGTTAAATCAGCTGGCTATGTAAGAAGCATGTGATTCAAAAAAAAAAAGGACATTTTTGACCTTTTCATTGTTGCTCGCTCAGAATACACATCCATCCTGTTGATAAAATACTGGGACAACAGTTTAATGAAACTACATTTTTATAAATGATTGATTCTCCAAAGCACTTGAGGGCAGGACCAGAAGCAACGGATGGAAGCTTATCAAGGAGAGAAGCAACCTGGAACTAAGGAGACATTTCCTGACAATGAGCACCATTAATCAGTGGAAGGGCTTGCCTTCATAAGTTGTGGGTCCTCCAACACTGCAGCTGCCTTTTCAAAAAGGCAACTGGACTTTCTTGGTTTCTTCCTGGAAGACGTTTCGCTTCTCCTCCAAGAAGCTTCATCCGTTCAGCAGTGACCACGAGGAACGGATGAAGCTTTTGGGGATGAGAAGCGAAAGGTCTTCCAGGGAAAACCAAGAAGGTCCAGCTACCTTTTGAAAAAAAGCATCTTTGGGACAACATTGACCCGGATGACTGAGAATCTCCTTAGACATCCATCATTAGAGGTTTTTGAGACTGGACAGTCCTTTGTCTGGAATGATAGGGTCTCTTGCTGGAGTAAAGGGGGGTTGGACTAGAAGACCTCCAAGGTCCCTTCCAAGTGTTATTCTGTATTCTGTAACCTGTGTTGACGTTGCTCATGAAAGCAAGCCAGAAACAGGAGACAGTGAGAAGATTGCAGAGCCCGTGGTGATCTGAGATTTTATTTTTCTAGAATACCTCGTTGTAATATCAGAATTTAATTTAAAAACATGGGGGATATTTTAACTGGTCTCTTGTCTAAGGCAGGGCTTTTCAACCAGTGGTACGGGTACCACCTGTGGTACAGTGGCACCTGGCAGGTGGTGCGCGACCATCCTAGAAAAGTGGTAGCAGGGGAGGGGAATGAGTTGAACCGGTGGCAGCACCGCACAAGCCTGAGCAAGAGACGGCTGGAGCTGCAGGGCTGTCAGGGCTCAGCGGAAGCGCCAGGATCAGCGCCAGGCTCCAGCTGGAGCTCAGCACTGATCCTGGCACTTCTGCTGAGCTCTGAACAAGCACCAATTAGCTGGAGCTCGGCGCTGATCCTGGCGCTTCTGCTGAGCCCAGAAGAAGCACCAATCAGCTGGAATGTTGCAGCATCTCCAGGGCCTTGTGATTTACATTCAGATGCTTGGCAACAGATTCCTATTTATGACGGCCACAGTGTCCCAGGGTTATGTGAAGGGACCAAAACCTGCTGCAACCACCCAGCAGATGGGGGGGGGGAATAAAAACCAAACAGCCCCCCACCCTACCTCCGCTGCCAATCCTCAACAGAAATGATCACAACAATGAAAACCTCGGACAGGAGGAAGAGCGCCACCAGGTGGGCAGGCAGGTGTCTTGCTTGGCTGTGCCTTGGGGGGGCACTTTTTTCATGCCGTTCTAACTTCTAAGAGTCACTAAGCCAGCGGTTCTCAACCTACGGGTCGCGACCCCATTTGGGGTCGAACGACCATTTTACGGGGGTCGCCAAACAACGCGATCCGCCATTTTTCCCCCTCGGGGCGGTGCCGCGCATGGGGGCGGTGCTGTGCATGTGCGCCGTGCATGGGGGCGGCATGCGCGGCATCCGTGTGACAGGGTCGCTGTCACACAAAGGTTGAGAATCGCTGCACTAAGCAAACTGTTGTAAGTCGAGGACTACCTGTACTTTATCACTTTTTTCCTTTTTTGGGGGGGGGTCATCAACTTTTTGACCCCTTGCTAGGCACCTGGTGGTCCTCGGATGTTGCCATATCCTAAAAGTGGTACAATGGGTGAAAAGGTTGAAAAGCCCTGGTCTAAGTGAAACCAAACTGGTCATTCTAAGCCCGAGAGATCTCGCTGGCCAACCTTGTGGAGACTTAGAACTAAGCTTAGATCTGGTTAGTAGTGGAAAGGGAGAAGACCAGAAGATCTGTAAAAGGAGCTACACGCTGAAGTCAAAATCCTTTGCATCTCTCCCATCGCGTGAGCGACACATGCGAAATTGTGGTCTCACATTCAGATCTATCTTCTCTGCAGTGCTAATTTAAGTCTATCAATCAATTAGAATAGAGCTGGAAGGGACCTTGGAGGTCTTCTAGTCCAGCCTCCTGTTCAAGCAGGAGAACCTATACCGTCTCAGACAGGTGAATGTCTAGTCTCTTCTTAAAAACTTCCAGTGTTGGAGCATTCACCGCTTCTGAAGGCAAGCTGTTCCACTGGTTAATTGTCCTCACTGTCAGGAAGTTTCTCCTTAATTCCAGGTTGCTTCTCTCCTTGAACAGTTTCCAACCATTGTTTTCTCGTCCAGTTGCCCTCTGGGGCTTTGGAGAATAGACCCCCTCTTCCTTGTGGCAGCCTCTCAAATACTGGAATATTGCTACCACATCCACACACACCCCAAGGGGCTTGACCTGAAGACCTCCAGGGTCACTCTCAGCTCTATTCCGATGGATTGATTGATTGAACGAATCAATCTGCAGAAAGCCAGCCTACGATATTCCTGTTTTGTAGTCTGTTTGTCCCCCTGTTTGCTAGTCGATCGCAGCAGTAAATCCTTTAAAAGCTTATTTGATTGAATGGGATTAAGAGGTTTTTATCTGACGGATAAAGGCTTTTAAGCTGCCCTTCTAGGTTTCCGCAGCGCGTCGAGTTTTTGTAAGGGCAGGGGTTTTTTTTAATCATGCCTGTTTTCCTTTTGCTGCGCAGAGAAACTAAAATTCAGAGCAGCTTTACGGATAGTCCTCGGCTTACAACCACCGCCAAGCTCCAGGTTTCCATCACTATGCGAGACAATTCAGGGGATTTTGCCCCATTTTACAACGTTTCTGTCCACGGTTGTTAAAGCGAGTCGCTTCAGTTCTTAAGTTAGTAACTCGGTTGTGAAGTGAATCTGGTTTCTCCCGTTGACTTTGCCTGTCGAAAAGTCACCAAAGGAGGTCACATGACCCCTCCCCGGGACACTGCGACCGTCGTAACTAGGAGTCAGTTGCCAACTGTCTGACTTTTGGTCACGTGACCCTGGGGGAGGCTGCAAACGGTCGTAAACATGAAAAAGGGTCCTAAGCTACTTTTTCTGGGTGCCGTTGTAACTTTGAGTGGTCACTAAAGTACCTGTTGTAAGTTGAGGACTACGTGCATTTTTGTCTAAGGTAAATCTACACTAAAAGAAAAGTGTTCAGAGGAAGGATGATTTGCTAATTTACCTTTTTCCTGCTTTCTTTCTTTTTTTCATTCTTATCTTTCCAATCTTCCTTCTTTCTTTCTTTCTTTCTTTCTTTCTTTCTTTCTTTCTTTCTTATCTTTCCAATCGTCTCTTTCTTTCTTTCTTTCTTTTTTTCTTATCTTTCCAATCTTCTCTCTTTCTTTCTAAACTTTCTTTTCTCTTTCTTTCTTTCTTTTCTTTTTTCTTTCTTTTTTTCTTTTCTTTCTTATCTTTCCAATCTTCTTTCTTTCTTTCTAAACTTTCTTTCTTTCCTCCCTCTTCCCTTTCTTCCTCCCTTCCTTCTTTTTCCCTTCAGCTTTTCTTCCTTCCTTCCTTCCTTCCTTCCTTCCTTCCTTCCTTTCTTTCTTTTTTCTTTTTTTTCTTTCTTATCTTTCCAACTTTCTTTCTTTCTAAACTTACTTACTTTCTTTCTTTTTCATTTCTTTCCTTTGGTTCGAGAGAAGCCCGGCAGAGGGACAGATCCAGAAAGGTTTTTTTTTTTGTATTTCTTCTCAATAGAAAGAAACACTCCATGCTAATCTTTTTATACAAGCATCCTGAAGAAACGTCACTCCTGTCCTCACATTTATTGAATGCATACTATGGAACATGAGGGAGAAGATGAAGCGCGGCCCACGTCATCACCCATGTACCATGTGGAGAGACAAGTGTACAATCAAGGGATCCTGCATGGGCAGCTGCACACAAAGGACAAAACAACTCAGCCTCTTGGCCAAAAGATAGCGCACGCTCTTCGGTAAGCATAAAATCTGTGTGGTTTCATTAAACTAATCAGCTGGCCATTCTTCGGATCCCATTGAGGTGGTCCCCGACTTACAGAAAGTTGTTTAGTGACGGAATGGAATAAAATGGAATGGAATGGAATGGAGTAGAATAGAATAGAATAGAATAGAATAGAATAGAATAGAATAGAATAGAATAGAAGAATAGAATAGAATAGAATAGAATAGAATAGAATAGAATAGAATAGAATAGAATAGAATAGAATAGAATAACATGGGATGGAATGGAGTGGAGTGGAACTGAATGGAGAATAGAATAGAAGAATAGAAGAATAGAATAGAATAGAATAGAATATGGAATGGAATAAGAATAGAATAGAATAGAATAGAATAGAATAGAATAGAATAGAATAGAATAACATGGGATGGAATGGAGTGGAGTGGAACTGAATGGAGAATAGAATAGAAGAATAGAAAGAATAGAATAGAATAGAATAGAATAGAATAGAATAGAATAGAATAGAATAGAATATGGAATGGAATGGAATAAGAATAGAATAGAATAGAATAGAATATGGAATAGAGTAGAGTAGCAGAGTAGAGTAGAATAGTAGAATAGAATAGAATAGAATAGAATAGAATAGAATAGAATAGAATAGAATAGAATAAAAAAGTAGAATAGAGTAGAATAGAATAGTAGAGTAGAGTAGAATAGAATAGAATAGAATAGAATAGAATAACATGGGATGGAATGGAGTGGAGTGGAACTGAATGGAGAATAGAAGAATAGTATAGAATATGGAATGGAATGGAATAAGAATAGAATAGAATAGAATAGAATAGAATAGAATAGAATAGAATAGAATAGAATAGAATAGAATAGAATAGAAAATACGGAATGGAATGAAAAGGAACGGAATGGAACAAAATAGAATAGTGTATAGAACAGAACAGAATAGAATAGTATATATAAAAAATACAAATATTACAGTACACCCACTCCCCTGGAGACTATTTTTATTACCTATATTTCTTCTCATATAACAACTAACAATATACAATATATTTCAATGGTGCCCTCATCCCCTCCAAAGCATCATATATTCTTGAGCAGGTTTATTATTCCCTTTGCCTTCCACCAACACCATTTTTTATAAAATCCTCCCATATTTCATTACAATTATTTACTTTAAACGTCCCTTTTTTAAAGTTTAATTTCTGTTCATGTATCATTTATTACCATATTCCACATTTCGTTATGCCACTCATTTCTTTGAATAATCCACTTTCCCTCTGCAAACGTCTGCAGAACTGGAGACATTTCATTTCTGTTCGAAGCCTCCTCTCCTCCGCCGCCTTACTCTAACGACAAAATGAACACCACAAAGTTTTTCCCTCTTGACCGTTTCTTTCGCTTGACTGACCACATGTTTTTTTGCTTTGGGCGTTTTCAGCTGTTCTTCCAAAAAAGCCAAATCGGTCCTCTATAGCTTTTTCCCGATTTTAACATGGCTTCCTCACTATCCCGTGAAAGAATATTTGATGGGAGACGTGGTCTCGGGGATCAGCACGGGGGTCATGCAGCTGCCTCAAGGTTAGTAAAACTGCAGCTTTGAAAAACAAAATCTTCAGCCCCCTACATCAGGGGTCTTCAAATTTGGCCCTTTGATGATTTGTGGACTTCAACGCCCAGAATTCCTCAGCCAGGCACGCTGGCTGAGGAATTCTGGGAGTTGAAGTCCACAAGTCATAAAAAGGCCAAGTTTGAAGACTCCTCCCAGAATTCTTCAGCCAGGCACGCTGGCTGAGGAATTCTGGGAGTTGAAGTCCACAAGTCACAAAAGGGCCAAGTTTGAAGGCCCCTCCCAGAATTCCTCAGCCAGGCACGCTGACTGAGGAATTCTGGGAGTTGAAGTCCACAAGTCACAAAAGGATCAAGTCTGAAGACCCCTCCCAGAATTCCTCAGGCAGGCACGCTGACTGAGGGATTCTGGGAGTTGAAATCCACAAGTCACAAAAGGATCAAGTCTGAAGACCCCTCCCAGAATTCCTCAGGCAGGCACGCTGACTGAGGGATTCTGGGAGTTGAAGTCCACAAGTCACAAAAGGATCAAGTCTGAAGACCCCTCCCAGAATTCCTCAGCCAGGCACGCTGACTGAGGGATTCTGGGAGTTGAAATCCACAAGTCACGAAAGGATCAAGTCTGAAGACCCCTCCCAGAATTCCTCAGGCAGGCACGCTGACTGAGGGATTCTGGGAGTTGAAATCCACAAGTCACAAAAGGATCAAGTCTGAAGACCCCTCCCAGAATTCCTCAGGCAGGCACGCTGACTGAGGGATTCTGGGAGTTGAAGTCCACAAGTCACAAAAGGATCAAGTCTGAAGACCCCTCCCAGAATTCCTCAGCCAGGCACGCTGACTGAGGGATTCTGGGAGTTGAAATCCACAAGTCACGAAAGGATCAAGTCTGAAGACCCCTCCCAGAATTCCTCAGGCAGGCACGCTGACTGAGGGATTCTGGGAGTTGAAATCCACAAGTCACAAAAGGGCCATGTTTGAAGACTCCTGCCCTAAATGAAAAATAAATTGTGTATGTGTCTTGCTGCAGGTTTTCTTTCATAATTTGAAATTTGACATTTGACTTTCAAACAAGTTGCTGACCGAGAATTGAATTGAGGGGGGGTGGGAAACACTGATAAGTTACAACCGTCTAACTATTCTTCATTGAACCATTTATTCCAATAATTCAATTGTGCATCTCACTTATTCTTTCCTTTTTTTTTTCTTTCATGTTTCTCTCAGGATTGGCGTATGCGTCACTGGCTGCAGTTCCTCCAGTGTTTGGCCTGTATTCTTCATTTTTTCCAGTCTTTCTATATACATTTTTTGGAACTTCCAGACATATATCAATAGGTATCTCTCTTAATGTATCTGTGGTTTTGCAGTTTGCCTTGTAAGGAATGATCGTATGTCAAGGGCTACTCGTACGTGTCCAGCGTACATTTGAAAGACCTTTTAGTCGTTTTTGAGAAAATTTTCAGGTGTTAAGTACCAACGATACATCATTTGTTTAAAAAAAAAAGTTGTCTTTCCAGCAGTTTCTTTCACGTATCTGGATGTTGTTGGCCCTAACGCTGGCTTCTCCAAACTCACCCCCTTGCAGGAACCTTTGCTGTAATCAGCCTGATGATTGGCGGAGTAGCTGTGAGAGAAGTCCCCGATGAATGGCCTGGCATGACGGAGACCAACTCGACCAATGGGACCGACGCCCGAGATGCTATGCGGGTGAAAGTGGCGGTGGCGGTCACCTTGTTGTCAGGTCTTATACAGGTAAGGGGTGCAGCAGCTGAATAGAATTAGAATTAGAATAGAAAAAATGGAATGGAATATATGGAATAGAATAGAATGGAATAGAAAATATAGAATGGAATAGAATAGAATAGGAAATAGAATAGAATAGAATAGAATAGAATAGAATAGAATAGAATAGAATAGAATAGAATAGAATAGCAGAGTTGGAAGGGACCTTGGAGGTCATCTAGTCCAACCCCCTGCTCAGGCAGGAGACCCTATACCATTTCAGACAAATGGCTGTCCAGTCTCTTCTTAAAAAGGGAAAGAAGAAGAAGAAGAAGAAGAAGAAGAAGAAGAAGAGAAGAAGAAGAAGAAGAAGAAGAAGAAGAAGAAGAAGAAGAAGAAGAAGAAGAAGAAGAAAGAAGAAGAAGAAGAAGAAGAAGAAGAAGAAGAAGAAGAAGAAGAAGAAGAAGAAGAAGAAGAAGAAGAAGAAGAAGAAGAAGAAGAAGAAGAAGAAGAAGAAGAAGAAGAAGAAGAAGAAGAAGAAGAAGAAGAAGAAGAAGAAGAAGAAGAAGAAGAAGAAGAAGAAGAAGAAGAAGAAGAAGAAGAAGAAGAAGAAGAAGAAGAAGAAGAAGAAGAAGAAGAAGAAGAAGAAGAAGAAGAAGAAGAAGAAGAAGAAGAAGAAGAAGAAGAAGAAGAAGAAGAAGAAGAAGATGATAAGGTTGGAAGGGAAACTTGGAGGTCATATAGTCCAACCCCCTGCTCAGACAAATGGCTGTCCAGTCTCTTCTTAAAAACTTCCAGTGTTGGAGTGCTCATTCACCGCTTCTGGAGGCAGGTTGTTCCACTGGTTAATTGTTCTCACCTTCAGGAAGTTTCTCCTTAGTTCCAGGTTGCTTCTCTCCTTGGTTAGTTTCCATCCATTGCTTCTTGTCCTGCCTTCAGGGGCTTTGGAGAATAGCCTGACTCCCTCTTCTTTGGGGCAACCCACAAAGAATTCAGATTCAGAAGCAGCTTTAGCTATTGCTTTCATCTAAGTCAAAATCTGATTTTCCTAAGTCTTGTTTTTGTTTTTTGCCATTCAAGATGAGGCTGAGCATCTTCCATCAACGTGGGGTCCTTGGTGCTCTCTGAGCTTGGTGGTTTTCCTGCAGGCGTTTCACTGATGCTGTAATCTGGTTTGGTAATGAAACGTCTGCAAGAGAATGACCAAGCTCGGAGAGCAGAGAAGAGCTCACCGTTCAACCTTAAGCTGCAAATATTCTCTTCGGTCAAGTCCACGAGTGTTTTTGTGGTGGTGTGGTCTCTTAGATTATATGAGACACCAACAGAGTATGAGAAAGGTGTGGCCAAGTCATGTTGCAGACTTTGTACTCTGCATTTGTATTAGAAACAGAAACCTCTGCTAAGTTAACCTGGCTTTTTATTTCAAAAATAACTTTATTTATTTATTTATTTATTTATTTATTTATTTATTTATTTATTTATGAGACTTATATACCGCTTTAAGTGCAAGCACTCTCTAAGCGTTGTACACCAGTAAGCAATATATATATATATTTACCTTGCCCCCAACAATCTGGGTCCTCATTTTACCTACCCCGGAAGGATGGAAGGCTGAGTCAACCTTGAGCCGGTGAGATTTGAACCGCTGACCTGCTGAACACAGTCAGCTAAAGTGGCCTGCAGTACTTGCACTCTAACTGTTGCGCCACCTCGGCTCTAATTTTCCGCTTGAATAGGACAGATTTGCTTAGATTTACACAACAGACTTGGAAAAAGGTCATAGAAAAGAACAACAACAAAAAAAATGCACAGCGGTGGTCACCCTTCGTGATTCTCATTGAGCAAATATTTTCATATAATTTCTTGTTCTGTATGACTGGAAGCGTCTGGCTTACATTCTTGTAAGGAAATTGTGTGTGGGAGGGGTAAGCATGCTGCTGTGAACTGGTTTAAAAATCAAAAGTGATTTCAGTGACTCTTGCTAGAATGTGGGTTTTCTTCCTATTAGTTGTGTTTAGGACTCCTTCGTTTTGGATTTGTAGCCATCTACCTGACGGAGCCCCTGGTGCGTGGATTCACCACTGCTGCAGCCGTGCACGTGTTTACCTCTCAGCTGAAATATCTGCTTGGGATTAATATCAAACGATTCAGTGGCCCCCTGTCTGTTCTTTACGTAAGTATCTATCTCTCTGTCCATCTATATCAGGGCTTTTCAACCAGTGGTACGGGTACCACCTGTGGTACAGTGGCACCTGGCAGGTGGTACGTGACCATCCTAGAAAAGTGGTAGCAGGGGAGGGGAATGAGCTGAACCGGTGGCAGCACCGCACAAGCCTGAGCGAGAGACGGCTGGAGCTACAGGGCTGTCAGGGCTCAGCGGAAGCGCCAGGATCAGTGCTGCTTTCCAGCTGATTGGTGCTTCTTCATGACTGTCAGGGCTCAGCGGAAGCGTCAGGATCAGCGCCAGGCTCCAGCTGGAGCTCAGTGCTGATCCTGGCGCTTCTGCTGAGCCCAGAAGAAGCGCCAATCAGCTGGAATGTTGCAGCATCTCCAGGGTCTTGTGATTTACATTCAGATGCTTGGCAACTGATTCATATTTGTGACGGTCACAGTGTCCCAGGGTCATGTGAAGTGACCAAAACCTGCTGCAACCATCCAGCAGATGGGGGGGGGGGGCGCGGAATAAAAACCAAACACCCCCACCCCATCCCTGCTGCCAATCCTCAACAGAAATGCTCACAACAATGGAAACCTCGGACAGGAGGAAGAGCAAGGACGGGTGGGCAGGCAGGTGTCTTGCTCAGCTGTGGCTTGGGGGGGGCACTTTTTTCAGTGCCATTGTAACTTCGAACAGTCACTAAGCGAATTGTTGTAAGTCGAGGACTACCTGTACTTTATCACTTTTTTCTTTTTTTTTTTTTTTTGACTTTCATCAAGTTTTTGACACCTTGCTAGGCGACTGGTGGTCCTCGGATGTTGCCATATCCTAAAAGTGGTACAATGGGTGAAAAGGTTGAAAAGCCCTGATCTATATCATCTCTCCATCTGATTGTCTATATCAGGGGTAGGCAACCTGGGCTCTTTTATGACTCATGGACTTCAACTCCCAGAATTCCTGAGCCAGCCTGGCTCAGCTTGGAAACCTCTCCCTTTCCACTCAGCGTGGCTGGCTCAGGAATTCTGGGAGTTAAAGTCCACCAGTCATAAGGTTGCCTACCCCTGCTGTAGACCAAATGGCTCCATCTATAATAGGATGCTTCACTTAACTAGGCTGTTTATTTATTTATTTTATTTATGAGACTTATATACCGCTTTAAGTGCAAGCACTCTCTAAGTAAGCAGTACACCAGTAAGCAATGTATATATATATTTACATTGCCCCCAACAATCTGGGTCCTCATTTTAGCTACCTTGGAAGGATGGAAGGCTGAGTCAAGCTTGAGCCAGTGAGATTTGAACCGCTGACCTGCTGAACACAGTCAGCTAAAGTGGCCTGCAGTACTGCACCCTAACTGCTGCGCCACCTCAGCTCATCCTAACCAATGGGACTTAAAAAGATGGTAATAAGCAAGCTGGTAGATTTCGTTTGGCCCTTTGCTTCCTACCTGCTTCGGACAATACAACCAATTTAAGGGAACATGGGAGTTGTAGTCCTGAGAACTCTTTGGAAGATTGCTCCTGTTGCAGTCCCAGAATAATGGAATAGATTTTCTCAGGCCACAGACAAGTCTCCTTAGTGGACCCCATCCAAAGCATCGGATAACTCTCCTGGTAATCCTGCAGACCTAATTGGTCACCTTTCTGTCTTGTCTTACTTCAGAGCTTGATTGAGGTGTTCTCCAATATCACCAAAACCAACATGGCCACTTTAGTCATTGGGCTCATCTGCATCGTTCTGCTGCTGGGCGGCAAAGAAATCAATGACCGTTTTAAGAAAAAGTTGGTGGTTCCGATTCCGCTGGAGATCATTGTGGTAAGTCTTAAACCCTAGCTAAACCATTCACTCAGAACACACAGCCTACAATGACAGAGTTGGTAGGGACCTCGGAGGTCTTCTAGTCCAGCCCCCTGCTCCAGCAGAGACCCCGGCCTATACCATTCCAGACCAGTCTCTTTTTGAAAGGCTCCAGTGATGGAGCACCCACAGCTTCTGGAGGCAGGTTGTTCTGCTCGTTAATTGTTCTCGCTGTCAGGAAGTTTCTCCTTAGTTCTAGGTTGCTTCTCTCTTTGCCTCGTTGCTTCTGGTCCTTCCTTCAGTGTTTTGGAGAATAGGTTGACCCCCCTCTTCTTTGGGCTAGCCTCTCAGATATTGGAAGACTATTATCATGTCACCCCTAGTCCTTCTTTTCATTAACCTAGACATACTCAATTCTTGCAACAAACAGATAGGTAAAGTAAGGTAGGTAGGTAGGTAGGTAGGTAGGTAGGTAGGTAGGTAGGTAGGTAGATAGATAGATAGATAGATAGATAGATAGATAGATAGATAGATAGATAGATAGATTATTGATAGATCATAGATACATAGATACATAATTAGATGATTGATGATAGATGGATACATAGATAGAGAGAGAGAGAGAGAGAGAGATGCATACGTAGATAGATAGATAGATAGATAGATAGATAGATAGATAGATAGATAATGGGTGTGTGGATGGATAGATAGATAGATAGATAGATAGATAGATAGATAGATAGATAGATTATTGATAGATCATAGATACATAGATACATAATTAGATGATTGATGATAGATGGATACATAGAGAGAGAGAGAGAGAGAGAGAGATGCATACATAGATAGATAGATAGATAGATAGATAGATAGATAGATAGATAGATTATTGATAGATCATAGATACATAGATACATAATTAGATGATTGATGGATACATAGATGATAGAGAAAGAGAGATACATGCATACATAGATACGTAGATAGGCAGATAGATTAGATAGATAGATAGATAGATAGATAGATAGATAGATAGATAGATAGATAGATTATTTATAGATCATAGATGCACAAATAGATGATTGATAGATAGATGGATACATAGATAGATGAGAGAGATATATATGCATATAGATAGATAGATAGATACATAGATATACATAAATACATTGATAGATGATGATAAATGATAGATGATTGATAGATATAAATAAATATACTTAACTAGATGATTGATAGATGGATACATAGAAGATAGATAGATAGATAGGAGAGAGAGAGAGAGAGAGAGGTAGCAATAGCACTTATATACCGCTTGCTCCAGCAGGAGACCCTATACCATTCCAGACAAATGCCTCTCCAGTCTCTCCTTAAAGACCTCCAGGGATGGAGCACCCACAGCTTCTGAAGGGAAGCCATTCCGTTGACTGATTGCTCCCGCCGTTAGGAAGTTTCTCCTTAGTTCTCGGTTTGCTTCACTCCTTGGTTCGAAGACAATGATAAAAACGGGATTCCTTTCCTCAACGTTTCTTCTGAAAATTCTTCCACCTGAACTCTTAAGTGTTTTGTTTTGTGTGTGTGTGTGTGTTTAAGGTGGTCATCGGGACGGGAGTTTCAGCTGGAATGAATCTGTCCAAGACTCACAACGTCGATATTGTTGGGAACATTCCTAGTGGGTAAGCAATTCCGCCCCAGATTTCTGCTGCTAAACAAGGGAGTTGTGAAGTGAACGATTGCTCCATTTTAGGACCTTTCCTGTCACGGTTATTAAAGGGAATCACTGCCGTTGTTATGTTAGGAACACGATTGTGTGAAATAAACCTGGCTCCCCCCATTCACTTTGCTTGTCAGAAAGTTGCAAAAGGGGATCGTGATCCCCAGGACACCGGGACCGTCATAATTGCATGCCAGCTGCCAAGCGGTCACATTTTGATCACATGACCAAGGTCCTAAGTGTGAAAACTGCTCATAACTCTCTTTTTTCCGTGCCAACGTAACTTTGAACGGTTGCTAAACGAATGGTTGTTAAGTCAACGGCTACCTATAATCTTAGAGCCTCCAAATTTATAATAATAATAGTAACGACAACAACAACAATATAATAACAATAATATAATATAACAATGTAAGAAGGAGAAGGGGGAAGGAGAGGAGGAGGAGAAGGAAGAAGGGAGGAGGAGGAGAAGAAGAAAGAAGAAGAAGAAGAAGAAGAAGAAGAAGAAGAAGAAGAAGAAGAAGAAGAAGAAGAAGAAGAAGAAGGAAGAAGAAGAAGAAGAAGAAGAAGAAGAAGAAGAAGAAGAAGAAGAAGAAGAAGAAGAAGAAGAAGAAGAAGAAGAAGAAGAAGTGGTGGTGGTGGTGGTGGTGGTGGTGGTAGTAGTAGTAGTAGTAGTGGAAGAAGGAAGAATGGACTGGCTATCCAGTCCCTTCTTTTTTTTTTTTATTAAAAATTTTTATAAATTTTTACAAAAAGACAAAAAAAAACAATACAATACAATACAAAAACAAAGCAAGACAAAACAAAACAACCCTTCCCCAACCCTCCCCAAAACCCCCACTCCCTCCCCCCCCCGGAGCTTCCCAGAGCAGAATATAGGTTTAATTAAAAAAAGTTAAAAAAATTATATGGAAAAAAAAGAATATAACACTAAAATATATGTATATATATATAGAAATAAAAGTTATAAAAAGGCTAGATGATATTTTTTTATATCCAATTTAAATTGTATAAACTTTATCCATTTATCCCAAACAGCAAGAAATTTCTCTTGCGATTGTTCTTTTAAGAAAGCCGAAATCTTTGCCATTTCCGCCAAATAAGACACTTTAAGAAACCATTCCTGCAAAGTAGGCAAAGATTCCTTCTTCCAATATTGTCCTACTAACAGCCTTGCGGCTGTAATCAAGTTCAACATTAATATAACCTCCTTTGTATCACAATCAGTAACTATACCTAATAAAAATAATTGTGGAGTAAATTTTACCCTCCTTCTAAAAATTCTCTGAATATTCCACCATATCTTAATCCAAAAAGCTTTTATATTTCTGCACGACCACCAGATATGATAATAGGTGGCATCCAAACAACCACATCTCCAACATTTAGGCTGTAGGTCAGGGTACATAAGAGACATTTTTTGTGGATCAAGGTGCCATCTATAAAACATTTTATAAAAATTCTCCCTTAAATTCTGTGCTTGTGTAAATTTAATATTTCTCACCCAGATAGTTTCCCAGGTATCCAGTAGAACTGGTTCACCAAAATTCTGCGCCCATTTAATCATACAATCCTTAATTCTGTTTCTGAATCCAATTCCACTAGAACCCCATAAATTCTCTTAATATGAGTTTGTCTTTGATCCTTCACTTGCTTAATAAAATTTTCATCTTCTCTGAGAAAACCCACCTTACGATCCATCTTCCATCTGTCTACTAATTGCCTATATTGAAACCAAGAATAAATAATATTTTCATATGCTAGCTCTTCCAATAGTTTTAACTGCCAATTTTGTCCATCCCATCTAAGTAACTGTGTATAAGACACCGTATCCATTTTGACACCTCTTTTTATCCCCTCTATCGCATGCCAAGGTATAGCCCATAATGGTATTTTAAAATCACTTTTATAATATTTTCTCCAGACCCTAAGTAAAGAAATTCTTATAATATGAGATTTAAAAGCCCGGTCCACCTTTTTATTAAATATTAAATAGGCATGCCAACCAAAAAGTAAATCCCATCCCTCCAAATGGAGTATCTCCAAATTTGTTAAATTTACCCAATCACTAATTGATGTTAAAACCACCGCATCATAATATAATTTCAAATTCGGTACCTTGAGTCCACCTCTCTCACGGGAGTCTTGCATGATTTTAAACTTTACCCTTGGTTTTTTCCCTGCCCAGATAAATTTGTTAATACCTTTCTGCCATTCACTTAAATTAATCTCATTCTTCAAAATCGGTAACATTTGAAACAAGAAAAGGAACTTGGGTAGAACATTCATTTTTATCACTGCAATTCTTCCCATGAGAGATAATTGCAACTTCTCCCAATTCCTCAAGTCTTTCTGTACTCTAACCCACAACCTTTCATAGTTATTCTTAAACAATTTTGCATTAGAAACAGATAAGATCACCCCCAAATATTTTACCTTATTAACAATTTCAAAACCCGTCAAATTAACCAAAATCTGCTTCTCCCGAATGGTCATATTTTTAGGTAGGATTTTAGTCTTATTAACATTAATCTTAAAACCCGAAACCAGACCATAATGATAAGTCAACTGTAATAACTTTACTACAGAATAAGTAGGTTGCGACAAAGTAACCACCAAGTCATCTGTAAAAGCTCTTAACTTATATTCTTTTTTGTTAACTTCTATACCTTTTATCTCCTGCGACTCTCGAATTTTGATCAACAATATTTCCAATGTTAAAACAAACAGCAACGGTGATAATGGACATCCCTGCCTAGTACCTTTCTCTATTGTAAAAACCTCTGACAAACCTCCATTAACAATAAGTTGTGCCGTTTGTTTTTGGTATATTGCCGTAAGAGCTTGTAATATCTTTTCACCAAGATTCATCTCTTCAATTACTCTTAACATAAAATGCCAATTCAATTGATCAAAAGCTTTTTCAGCATCTAAAAATATCAGCCCTGCAGAAATTTGATTATTCTTATCTAGATATTCTAATAAGTTAATAATTTGTCTAGCATTATTTTTCATGTACCTACCAGTTATAAACCCAGATTGATCCTTATGCACAAGATAATGCACAACCCTCATAAGCCTATTTGCTAAAATTCCCTTCTTAAAAACCTCCTGTGATGAAGCACCCACAACCTCTGGAGTCAGGTTGTTCCACTAGTTAATTGTCCTCACTGTTAGGAAATTTCTCCTTAGTTCTAGGTTGCTTCTCTCCTTGATGAGTTTCCATCCATTGCTTCTTGTCCTGCCTTCAGGGGCTTTGGAGAAGAGCTTGACTCCCTCTTCTTTGGGGCAGCCCCTGAGATATTGGAAGACTGCTATCATGTCCCCCCTCGTCCTTCTCTTCATTAAACTGGACATACCCAATTCCGGCCACCATTCCTTGTATGTTTTAGCCTCCAGTCCCCTGATCATCTTTGTTGCTCTTCTCTGCACTCTTTCTAGAGTCTCAACATCTTTTTTACATCGTGGTGACCAAAACCGGATGCCCTATTCCAAGTGTGGCCTTACCAAGGCCTTGTAAAGTGGTATTAACACTTCACGGGATCTTGATTCTATCCCTCTGTTAATGCAGCCTAGCACTGTAGCACTGTAACGTAACTGGATTTTTTTTTTCTTACTACTTCTTATAGATTATCCCGTCCTCAAATCCCTGACGTCAGCTTAATCCCAGCAGTGTTTGTGGATGCCATTGCTATAGCTCTTGTCGGGTTCTCCATGACCATCTCAATGGCTAAAATCTTTGCTCTCAAGCACGGCTACACAGTGGACGGAAATCAGGTAACCTAATTGTAACCTCGGGCTTGGCTACTCGTGACCTGGATAAAACCCTGCAATCGATAAAATTGTGTTTCCCAGTACAAGTATTCCTCTTAGTGTTTTGAAGTTACAACAGCACCCGGGAAAAAAAAAAAAGTAACTTACGACCAGTTTTTGTGCTTACGACCGTTGCAACATCGCATGATTAAAATTCGGGCGCTTGGCCACTGACTCATATTTATGACGGTTGCAGTCCCTTGATCCCCTTTTGTGACCTTCTCGCTAGCAAAGTCAAGTTTGTGACGCATCCTCTTCTCTCCCTTTTCTCTTCTCCCAGGAACTCATCGCGCTGGGCATCTGTAATTCCACCGGATCCTTTTTCCAGACGTTTGCCGTCACCTGCTCCATGTCTCGGAGCCTTGTTCAGGAAGGCACTGGAGGGAAGACCCAGGTGGGGAAAATGCCGACTTTTTTATCTGACATCTTTCCCTTTGGTTAAGACAGTGGTTCTCAACCTTTTTAATGCTGCGACCCCCAACTGGTCGTAAGTCGAGGACTACTCAACCGGTCGTAAGTCGAGGACTACTCAACTGGTGCAGCACCGTTTGCAGAATGGGACTTTTGGCGGGCTCAGCAGGGCAGAGACAGCCTGGACAATTCCTATTGGCTTTTGAAAGCCAATAGAATTAGACTCTATTCAAGAGAGTCTATTCTATTGGCTTTCAAAAGCCAATAGAATAAAAGGGAGTAGCACAGCTAAGGAAAAGGGGGGGAAAAATGGCGGACTGCGTTGTTTGGCAACCCCCGTGAAATGGTCGTTCGACCCCAAATGGGGTCCCCACCCACAGATGGAGAACCACTGGGTTAAGGAGAGTAAGAAAGGGTACACGGCTGGCCCCATTGAAAGGTATCCCCTTACTAGGTTGAGTAATGTCAGGCACAATGAGAACACCTCCATTAATTGGGCTAATACAGGGGTCCTCAATCTGTGGGACACAGCCTCTTGGCTACCGGGCCGTGAATGGCTGCCCAATGCATGGATGTGTGTGTGTGCACTCTCCCCCCCCCCCACTCTCGCTAGTGCTGCCTTGAGGATCGTGCCGGCACTAGCCCCGCTCCAAGGGTCACACAGGCGCTAGGCCCGCCCCGAGGGTCACACAGGCACTAGGCCCGCTCCGAGGGTCACACAGGCGCTAGCCCTGCCCCGAGCGCCACACAGGCGCTAGCCCTGCCCCGAGTGTCACACAGGCGCTAGGCCCGCCCCGAGGGTCACATAGGTGCTAGGCCCGCCACAAGTGTCACACAGGCGCTAGGCCCGCCCCGAGGGTCACACAGGCACTAGCCCTGCCCCGAGTGTCACACAGGCGCTAGGCCCGCCTCGAGGGTCACACAGGCGCTAGGCCCGCCCCGAGTGTCACACAGGCGCTAGGCCCGCCCTGAGTGTCACACGCGCTAGGCCCGGCCCGAGTGTCACACAGGCGCTAGCCCGCCTGGCTCAGGAATTCTGGGAGTTGAAGTCCATGAGTCATAAAAGAGCCAAGGTTGCCTACCCCTGTCCTAGACCTTATTCTTACTAAAATGTTTTTCTGATTTTTTTTTTGTTGTTGTTGTTCAGATTGCAGGAACTCTGTCCTCAATTATGGTTTTCTTGGTGATTATAGCCATTGGTTACCTCTTTGCACCTTTGCCACAGGTAAGTGAGTCACTAGATAGTCTAAATCAGCCGAATTAAAATTCCTGTTTTAACAGGCCACCATATCTGTGTCTGTTAAAGCTAGCTTTCTTATTGCTTGGTGGTCTCAGAATTGGAAACCCAACAGCATAGGTAATTGTTAGATATTTTAACCGTGTATCCTTTTCTCTGGTGGTCTCCCATAAACACCACTAGCTTTTTCTAAAGTTCTTTCAAAATGCAGGAAGTCCCCAGTCATCTTGGTTTAAAGACAACCCACGGTTAGGAACAGAGCCTGTTGTAGCAAAATTCGAATTAAATACATAATGATTCAAATCCATTACACAATACCATGGTAATGCAGTGGTTAGAATATAGCATTGCAGGCTGACTCTGCCCACAGTCTGGAGTTCAATCCTGATGGGGCTCAAGGTTGACTCAGCCTTCCACTCTTCCGAGGTTGGTAAAAGGAGGACCCGGATTGTTGGGGGGGACAATAGGCTGACTCTATAAACCGCTTAGAGAGGGCTGTAAAGCACTGTGAAGCGGTATATAAGTCTAAGTGCTAAGCGCTATTGCTATATCATAATACTGTAACAGCTCGTATACAAATCTGACTTAAGAAGTGATGTTGAGAACTTGTTGCTCAACAGAAGATTACCTCAACCTTGACAATTTTAAGGCATGTGGACTTCAACTCCCAGAATTCCACAGCCAGCAATACCCCCACTGGCAGTTAAAAGGAAGAAACAGCTAAGACCACACATTGCTGCTCAAAGCACGAAGCTGAAAACACCAGCCTGAAGATGACGAATGGGACTTCGTCGAAACGTCGCCAAGACACTTCCAATTTTAGGCGGGAGAAAACCCGAACAACCAAAGACATATATATATATATAGATAGATAGATAGATGCTTGGAATGAGTTTGACGTGAATTCAGACCAAAAAAATAAAAAATAAAAATCATACTATTTTCAAATTGTTTTCCTAGACTGTGCTGGCAGCGATTGTGATGGTCAACCTGAAAGGCATGTTCAGACAGTTAGCAGATATTGCCCACTTTTGGAGAACCAGCAAGATTGAACTGGTGAGTGATTTTTGTGTGTGTGTGTGTGTGTGCCCGTCAGCTTCTTTTCTTTGGCTTTTTACCTCTTATTTTTAATTTACTGCAGTTAGTCCAGCATTCCCCTGTCACGGTTACGTTGCGCAAGGAAAAGCATCCATGTAAGAATCAATTCACTCAAGTACAGTGAGGCTTCAGGATCTGGGAGGGAATGGAATGGAATGGAATGGAATGGAATAGAATAGAATAGAATAGAATAGAATAGAATAGAATAGAATAGAATAGAATAGAATAGAATAGAATAGAATAGAATAATGGAATGGAGTAGAGTAGAGTAATGGAATGGAATAGAATAGAATGGAATATGGTATATAGAATATAGAATATGGAATAGAGTATGGAATGGAATAGAATAGAATAGAATAGAATAGAATAGAATAGAATAGAATAGTGGAATGGAGTGGAGTAGAGCAGAGTAGAGTAGAAAAATGGAATAGAATAGAATATAGAATAGAATAGAATGGAATGGAAATACAGAATAGAATGGAATGGAAATACAGAATAGAATAGAATAGATATTGGAATATAGAATAGAATAGAATAGAATAGAATAGAATAGAATAGTATAAGGAATAGAATAGAATAGAATAGAATAGATATTGGAATATAGAATAGAATGGAATATGGAATATGGAATGGAATAGAATAGAAGAGAAAATACGGAATGGAATTGAATGAAAAGGAACGGAACAGAACAGAACAGAATAGATATTGGAATATAGAATAGAATTAGAATAGAATAGATATTGGAGAATAGAATAGAATAGAATAGAATGGAATAGAATAGAATAGAATAGAATAGAATAGAATAGAACAGAGCTGGAAGGGACCTCGGAGGTCTTCTAGTCCAGCCCCCTGCTCCAGCAGGAGAACCTAGACCACCTCAGACAAGTGACTGTCCGGTCTCTTCTTCAAAACCTCCAGTGATGGAGCGCCCACGATTTCTGGTGGCAACTTCTGTTCCACTGGATCCTTCTGTGGGTTTCTGTTTGAGGGTCTTTTTAGCCAGTGACAGGATCAGGGAAGAAATCGTGGTTTGTTTTGGATCCATACATTTGAAAACATTTAGAAACCTGCGTCCCAATTAGTTCATTCAGTATAAATTGCCACATGTGGAAATGGAGAAACGGTTAGCCTACCGCCATTTCAAGACTGTCTCAAGCCCAGACAGTCACATTGAAAAGCAATAAATTGTGTGTCCCAAAGGTGTTTTTTTCAGGCGGCAACCTGGACTTCCTTTGTTTTTTCTTTGAAGACGTTTCCCCTTCTCATCCCAGAAGCTTCTTCAGTTCTGACTGGAGGGTGGGGGGTGGGTGGAAAGATTTATACTCCTTGCAGAGAGCTGGTTCTTTGCCTTCTTTCAGAGAGTCGTTGAGGCCACTTGGAGGCTGACCTGTGTCCTCAGGGTCACCTGAGTGGTGCCAATGGGTGTGGAGCCTTCCTGGCTGCAGGATGTTAAATCTTTCCATTCTCCCGCCATCCGGTCAGAACTGAAGAAGCTCCTTGGATGAGAAGCAAAACGTCTTCAAAGAAAAAAAAAAACAAAGAAAAAAAAGGAAAGTCCAGTTGCCTCCTAAAAAAGCATCTTTGGGACAACCAGGACCTGGATTGACTGAGAATCTCCCGAGACGATAAACTGTATGTTGCTGATTGGATGATTCCTTTACTTTGATTCTTTTTTGTTTTTTTTTAGGCCATTTGGATTGTAGCTTTTCTTGCCTCAGTGTTTCTGGGCCTGGATTACGGTCTGCTCACCTCGGTCACCTTCGCAGTGGTCACCATTGTGTACAGGACCCAAAGGTAACAGTTAAAGTTTTAAACCCATAAAAGAAAGTTCTCGGTTTGTTTTTTACGCTTCTTTGTGTTTTCTTTCTTTCTTTCTTTCTTTCTTTCTTTCTTTCTTTCTTTCTTTCTTTCTTTCTTTCTTTCTTTCATTCTTATCTTTCCAATCTTTTTCTTTCTTTCTAAACCTTTCTTTCTTTCTTTCTTTCTTTCTTTCTTTCTTTCTTTCTTTCTTTCTTTCTTATCTTTCTAAACTTTCTTTCTTTCTTTCCTTCCTTCCTCCCTCTTCCCTTCCCTTTCTTCCTCCCTTCCTTCTTTTTCCCTTCAGCTTTTCTTTCTAAACTTTCTTTCTTTCTTTCTTTCTTTCTTTCTTTCTTTCTTCCCTTCCCTTTCTTCCTCCTTCCCTTCTTTTTCCCTTCAGCTTTTCTTTCTAAACTTTCTTTCTTTCTTTCTTTCTTTCTTCCCTTCCCTTTCTTCCTCCTTCCCTTCTTTTTCCCTTCAGCTTTTCTTTCTTTCTTTCTTTCTTTCTTTCTTTCTTATTGTTCCAATCTTTTTTCTTTCTAAACTTTCCTTTCTTTCTTTCTTTCTTTCTTTCTTTCTTTCTTTCTTTCTTTCTTTCTTTCTTTCTTTCTTCCCTTCCCTTTCTTCCTCCCTTCCTTCTTTTTCCCTTCAGCTTTTCTTTCTAAACTTTCTTTCTTTCTTTCTTTCTTCCCTTCCCTTTCTTCCTCCTTCCCTTCTTTTTCCCTTCAGCTTTTCTTTCTTTCTTTCTTTCTTTCTTTCTTTCTTTCTTTCTTTCTTTCTTTCTTATTGTTCCAATCTTTTTTCTTTCTAAACTTTCCTTTCTTTCTTTCTTTCTTTCTTCCCTTCCCTTTCTTCCTCCTTCCCTTCTTTTTCCCTTCAGCTTTTCTTTCTTTCTTTCTTTCTTTCTTTCTTTCTTTCTTTCTTTCTTTCTTTCTTATTGTTCCAATCTTTTTTCTTTCTAAACTTTCCTTTCTTTCTTTCTTTCTTTCTTTCTTTCTTTCTTTCTTTCTTTCTTATCATTCCAATCTTTTTTCTTTCTTTCTTTCTTTCTTTCTTTCTTTCTTTCTTTCTTTCTTTCTTTCTTTCTTTCTTTCTTTCTTTCTTATCTTTCCAATATTCTTTTTTTCCTCCCTCTTCCCTTCCCTTTCTTCCTCCCTTCCTCCCTTCTTTTTCCCTTCAGCTTTTCTTTCTTTTTCTTTCTTTCATTTCTTCCTTCCCTACCTCTCTCCCTCCTTCCCTTTCTTTCTCCCCTCCTCCCTTCTTTTTCCCTTCAGCTTTCCTTCCTTCCTTCCTTCCTTTTTTCTTTTTGTTTCTTTCTCTTTTATTTAATTCATTTATTTAATCCATTTACTTCATTAATTGGATTCCGTTCAGATCCTGCCTTTTTATCCCAAGCAACTCAAGGCAGCAAAACGTTCCTAATACAGGTACAGTCCTTCATTTATGACCGCAGTCGAGCCCAAAAATTTAGGTTGCTAACTGAGACGTTTGTTAAGTGACTTTTGGCCCACTTTACAACTTTTTCCTGCCACAATTGTTAAGTGGGTCACTTGCAGGTAATAAGTTAATAACACGGTTTTTAAGTGAATCTGCCTTTCCCATCCCGATTATTATTATTTTCAGATTACAATTAAAATTATTACCCAAACAATATTGTTGTTCTAAATGCGTGGAACCATGTCTTGCAAAGTAGATTTTTTCCACTTAGTATAATAATAATAATAATAATTAATAATAATTAATAATAATAAATAAAAAGTTGGAAGGGACCTTGGAGGTCATCCAGTCCAACCCCCCGCTCAGGCAGAAAACCCTAAACCATTCCAGACAAATGGCTGTCCAGTCTCTTCTTAAAAACTTCCAGTGTTGGAGCATTCACCGCTTCTGGAGGCAGGTTGTTCCACGGGTTAATTGTTCTCACTGTTAGGAAATGTCTTGTAAAGGCTTCAATTATATAACTGCTTATTTTTGTGAGCTGAAGTTTGACTGCTTTATTGCTTGATCAGTGAGTCAGGTTCAAAGCAGGAGAACCTGTTTTGATAGTGGATATAAACTTTGGACACAGTAAAGTAACAGGTTTGGTAGGTTGGTTTGGTTTTTTTAAAAAAAAATATTTCTAAGATTTCTGCCACTCTGAAGTACACAAGATCCTGAGATTTCTCCAATCTAAACCCAATAACACGTTCTATTCCTGTCGTTTTCCTCCACAGTCCCCAATATAGAATCCTTGGCCAGATTCACAACACGGATATTTATTGTGATGTGGACCTGTACACAGAGGTAAGAGAGATGGGACTCTGGAAGACACATAAAATTAACGGGTTCAGTTAAAAATGGGGTGGGACAACAGGGAGCTTGTGGGGAACCTTAACAGTTGAGATCCACAAAAGAAAAGGTACTGCAGGAATCCTCAATAGATTGATTGGGTTGAACTAAAGCTAGGAAGAAGAGCAAACAGAACTGGGAAATTTGTTCAAAAGATCAAAAGGTTTCCAAATCAAGTTTCACCTCAGAAGGTTTCCAGATGAGAAAGGTTGATCCATATTTCGGAATCCATCTCATGTTTCCAGATCAGAAAGGTTGATCCGTGCTTTGGAATCCATCTCAGAAGGTTTCCAGATCATAAAGATTGATCCATACTTTGGATTCCATCTCAGAAGGTTTCCAGATCAGTAAGGCTGATCCATACTTTGGAATCCCTGCTCAAAAAGTAGATTTGAAGGCTGAGGAACATAGATATAGTTCCTGCTTCCACTTCTGAAAGCTGCCATATCCCAGAAAAACATTTGATGTTTTGATGTTGCCATGTCCTTCAAAGTACTAACTGGACATTTGACCTGGTTTCAGGTAGGAGTCCTGCAGGTCAATTATTTCATTTATTATTTCATTTTCCTGTCCTGTAATTCCCAGCAGGATTCAGGCCTGATCTCCAGGATAGGAAAACATGACATTGAATGACGACATTTTGGAAATTTTGAATTCTATCCAATTTCCAGCTGTTGTTCGGCTTCCCTTGCAAGTGAAGAACGATTAGGGCAAAGAAGCAACTAAGACAACAAAAACATGAGTTTTCGCAGAGAGATTTTTATGTGGGCAAGTTTGGAAAGCTGGCATTTGGGCCATTCTAACATCCTATATACTTCTTTATTTATTTATTGTTGGCCTCATTCTATACAACTCTACAGTTCTGGCTGGTTTACAAACCGTAACAGTAGAACATGATAAAAACCGAGAATTTATTACTCTAGACCCACAGTCTTTTAAACCACAAAGCAGAGAAGTTCCAGGGGGACAGAGTCAAGAGTTTAACCAGGTCCAGGGTTAAACAAAGTGTAGACTTCGGGTCAATCTTGAGTACTGTAGAGCAAAAGACAAAGTCAGTGGACTTTCCGAGATAAAATCTGTCATTACCTCCATTTCTTCATAAAGTATTATATAAAGTATATCTAAAGCATGCAAGGCATTCTTTAGCATAAACTTGCTCTTAGAACCTGCCATTTTGCACGCAGAGTGGTATGGATCAGACAGACTCCTCTCCGTGTAAAAATTATGTCATCCTAATTTGACAACTCTTTTTCTCACAAACTCAGCTGTTGGGATCCAGCTTGCTAGTTTTGTTTGCTGCAGATGGGTAGATTTTTATTAGGACAAAGAAGATGAAACAGCTCTGCTTCAGTTGGGAAAGTCATTCCAACGACTAGGACATAGTTTAGAGGTCTGCCAAAAAAAAAAAAAAAAGAATTTTGCTGCAAATTTGGAGCGTAAACAATCCTTGAAGGCAACATTTATAACTGCCAATTAACTTGGGAAGAAGCGTAGCCAAAATTAGGGAAGAGTAGATAGGAAAATATGTTTTTACAGGGAGAGGAGAGCAAAAGTCACCGTGTTTTAGGATTGTACAAATGCAATTCTATTTTTAATCCTTTAAAAAAAGGGGAAGATTTTCCATTTTTCCCCCGACACAGAAATACCCCCTGCAACTTTTGGCTCAAAAAAATAGTCCCATAGAAACACTCATCTTTTGATTTTTGCGTTAGCATGACGGCTATCCAGGAAATGTTGCAATCGCCTACTTTTCTAAGATTAAACAAGTAGCTGTTCTTGCAGGTTCCGCTGAATTTAATACTGTGCAAACTTAACCAGGGACCCCTTATGATTTGTTTTCATTCTGCCACAATTTAGGTAAAAGAATGTCCCGGCATTAAAATATTCCAGGCAAATGCACCGCTCTATTTTGCCAACAGTGAGTTATTTATCAGCGCGTTGAAAAAAAAGGTATTTATTTCTTCCTGTTATTATTCAATCCACTGTCAAATTGTGCAAGGAAACTCATGAAACAGGTCTTTGTCGGGCTCTAGAATTACAGACTTTGGTGGTCGGGGAGACAGGAAGATTGTGGTATTCTCAATCTTAAACAAAAAAAACAACCCTGCACGGTAGAGAGTTAAGACGACCGTTTCTATTTAAGATGCCGGTTTTATTCTTCCCCCGTTTTTTTAAAATGAGACAAAGTTGAGGACGGTGATACTCAAATATTTTATGTCTTCCCCCACGGTTTTAAGTGATACAGTCCAGGACAGGTAAATCTTGATTGATGATCCACAATTGAGCCCAACGTTTAGGTTGTTAAGTGAGACAGTTCTCAATTGAGATTGGCCCTCTTTTACGACCTTCCTTGCCACTGTCGCTAAGTGAATTGCTGCAGTTGTCAATTTAGTAACGTGGTTGTTAAGTGGATCTGCCTTCCCCGTGGACTTTGCGGGTCAGAAGTTTGCAAAATGACCCCGGGACACTGCGACCGTCATAAATACGAGTCAGTTGCTAAGCATCTGAACTTGTGGACTTCAACTCCCAGAGTTTCTCAGTCGGCCATTTTGATAAAACTGCGGGCTTGGATCCAGACCATGGGTCTTCAAACTTGGCCCTTTTATGACTTGTGGATTCAACTCCCAGAATTCCTCCGCCAGGATGCTTTAAGACAGGGATCTTTAAACTTGGCCCTTTGATGACTGGTGGACTTCAACTCCCAGAATTCCTCAGTCAGCCATTTTGATGAAATCGTGGGCTTGGATCCAGACCAGGGGTCTTCAAACATGGCCCTTTTAGGACTGGTGGACTTCAACTCCCAGAATTCCTCAACCAGGCATGCCTGGCTGAGGAATTCTGGGAGTTGAAGTCCACCAGTCATCAAAGGGCCAATTTGGAAGACCCCTGTATTATATAATCAAGGGCCAATTTTGAAGAGCCCTGTATTATAATCATGGTCATATGAAAAACAGTCATAAGTTGCTTTTTTCATGTAACTTTGAACAGTCACTAAACAAATAATTGTAAAGTCAAGAACTACCTGGCCAGTGATGTTTTCAACCAAGTCAAGGGTCGTTGTGGCAGATTATCCAAAATCTCTTCACTGTTCTAAATCGCAATCCCATGAAAGCGACCCTTTGCAATGGACGTTAAATGATCAATTTAGCAAGCGAATTAACTTGCTTAATAGGTTGAATTCAGTAAAGTTATTAGCCGCTGAAGCTGTTCATTTGGGGGCAGTATTGGGGAACACGGAGGTAAAGAAGGATTGGGTCTTAAAAGATTCACCCTACGGTATGTATCAGGGCAACAGCCTGCCGGCGTTCATTTGTTGCGAGGTGAGACAAACCTTCCTGAGATTTTCCTGTCTTTTGGGGGCAGACTGGTGTGAATCCGAGTAAAATATCTGCAGCAAAGAAAAAAGCACGAAAGCGACACGCCAAAGAACTGAAGCGGCTGGATGAACAACGGAAGAAAGCCATCTTGAAGTTGGTAAGTCTGAGACGCCTTGAGGAATACAGACTGGCTTGGGTTTCGGAGTCACTGAATAGTAGAATAGAATAGTAGTAGTAGTAGTAGTAGTAGTAGTAGTAGTAGTAGTAGTAGTAGTAGTAGTAGTATGGAATGGAATAGAATTTAGAATAGAATAGAAATAGAATATGGAATCCATTTGTCCGAAATGGTGTAGGGTTTCCTGCCTGAGCAGGGGGTCAGACTCGATGACCTCCAAGGTCCCTTCCAACGTTGTTGTTGTTGTTGTTATTATTATTAAATAAAGAATAGAATAGAAATAGAATAGAATAGAATAGAATAGAGGATAGAATAGAATAGAATGGAATATTGGAATATAGAATAGAATAGATATTGGAATATAGAATAGAATAGAATATTGGAATGGAATGGAATGGAATAGAATAGAATAGAATAGAATAGAATAGAATAGAATAGAATAGAATAGAATAGAATAGAATAGAATAGAATAGAATAGAAATTAGAATAGAATAGAATAGAATAGAATAGAAATAAGGAAATAGAATAGAATAGAATAGAATAGAAATAAGGAAATAGAATAGAATAGAATAGAATAGAATAGAATATAGAATAGAATAGAATATAGAATAGAATAGAATATAGAATAGAATAGAGTATAAAATAGAATAGAATAGAGTATAAAATAGAATAGAATAGAATATAGAATAGAATATATAAAATAGAATAAAATAGAGAATAGAATAGAATATAGGAATGAAGAATAGAATATAGGAATATAGAATAGAATAGAATATAGAAAAGAATAGAATAGAATAGAACAGAACAGAACAGAACAGAACCTTGGAGATCTTCTAGTCCAGCCCCCTGCTAAGAGATTTCCACCGATAAAGGAGAATACAGGTATTCCTCGACTTACAAGCACAATTGACCCCACACACACATTTCCGTTGCTAAGTGAGACATTTGTCTAGTGAGTTTTGCCCCATTTTACGACGTTTCTTGCCATAGTTGTTAAATGAATCATTGCAGTCGTTCAGTTCGTACCACGAATGCAAAGCGAGAATTTTAAGAAGAGACTAGACAGTCGCTTGTCTGAAAGGGTCTCTAGGGGTCTCCTGCTTGAGCAGGGGGCTGGACTAGAAGACCTCCAAGGTCCCTTCCAGCTCTGTTCTAATTCTAATTGATTTTGCTTCTCAGAAGGTCTCAGATCATACGAGTAGATTACAATTTTGAAACCTTTCTTTTGGTTTGATTTTGGTCTTCTTCTTCTTCCCGTTAACTATTTTCTCACTAATGTAATATGCAGAACACAGGTCAATAATTTGCACATAGATTTAGTCGTTTAAAGAGGGCAAAGCGTCACGACAAATTTTATAGTCATGTATCAATCAGCATTCAATAGAGGGGATAATATAGGTATATGTGCTGTTCGTTGGGTTTTTTTTAATGCACCTGTTTTTAATATTTTGATTCTTTTGTCTCCTTTGTCCTTTTTTTTGTCTTCGTTTGTCTTTTTTCCTGTTGTCGGGTATTTTGTACTGAAACCTTGTCTTGAACAAAACAAAACATATTTTAAAAAGGCGAACGACATGGAGCGCGGCATGAAGCACGAAGTGTTGGAAAATGACGTCTCCCTCAATGGGAAATTCTCAGCAGCCGAAGAAACTCCACAAAATGTCTCTCCGGAGGAAGTGGAACATTTTATGATACCAGGAAGCCAGGTCCACTCCATCATTCTAGATTTTTCCCCCGTGAACTTTGTGGATTCAGTTGGAGCCAAAGCCCTTCAGTCAGTACGTACTACCTGGGGGGAGGCTAAAACACACAAGGAACGGTTGCTGGTTTAATGTCTAGTTTAATGAAGAGAAGGACGAGGGGGGACAGGATAGCAGCCTTCCAGTATCTCAGGGGCTGCCCCAAAGAAGAGGGAGTCAAGCTATCCTCCAAAGCGCCTGAAGGCAGGACAAGAAGCAACGGATGGAAACTAATCAAGGAGAAAAGCAACCTAGAACTAAGGAGAAACTTCCTGACCGTTAGAACAATTAACCAGTGGAACTCCTTGCCTCCAGAAGATGTGAATGAATACCGGTTTTAATCACTCTTTCTGACAATGAAGCAGCTGCTTAGTTTTGTGCTCTTTCATGCACTCGGAAGAGAAGTGGGTCAAGTTAAAATGATACAGAATAAGAGAGTTGGAAAGGACCTTGGAGGTCTTCTAGTCCAACCCCCTGCTCAGGCAGGAAACCCTACACCATTTCGGACAAATGGCTGTCCAGTCTCTTCTTAAAAACTTCCAGTGTTGGAGCATTCACCGCTTCTGGAGGCAGGTGGTTCCACTGGTTAATTGTTCCCACTTCCAGGAAATTCCTCCTTAGTTCCAGGTTGCTTCTCTCCTTGATGAGTTTCCATCCATTACTTCTTGTCCTGCCTTCAGGTGCTTTGGAGAATAGCTTGACTCCCTCTTCTTTGGGGCAGCCCCTGAGATATTGGAAGACTGCTATCATGTCAGCCCTCATCCTTCTCTTCATTAAATTAGACATACCCAATTACACAAAAGAGCTTACTGCAATTCAGGTGTTTGTTTTTTTTCAAGTCTCCCCACATATGTTGTTTCCTTTTGTCAGATGGGAAATACCAGGTCCACAAAAAAGGTCCAATTAAACTGATTTATTGCCAAACAGCCTTGGCATAGGAACATTCTCAACTACCAGGTAGCATCTGCTTAGAGATAAATACGGGTTCACGGAATTCATGGGAGGACAGACTTAATCCACTTAACAACTATGTAGGAATTCTAGGCTGCTGCCTCTTTTGACGCCGTCCCCTGGTTCTGCCACTTTCTTCTCCTACATGGTTAGCCCCAACCAGAGGGCACCAGGATAAGGAAAATACACGTTTGAGAGATTTCGCATTGTGTTTCGTCTTATTGCTTGTAAGACAACTGGAGGTCAACTTTAAGGGGGAATTTTCATAGCAGATCGATAACGGGTGGAATGGGCGAGCTTTGCTAAATCCAGAAAAAGTAACCGAAAGTTATTTCCGTCCCTGTTGCAGATTATAAAAGAATATGAAGAAATCGGGGTGTCGGTCTACATAACGGCCTGCAATGGTAAGTCGGAGAAGCGTGGGTTAAATTTTTCCTACAGTCAGTAGGACATTTAACGTTCTGTCTAGTATTCCTCAACTTGACGCCTTCCCAATTTACTACGCTGGAATTCCTACCTAGCCAAACATGATGGGTTTGGAAGTTCACCCCGTTCTTTAACCCACCAAGGGAGGTCTTACATCACACCAAGTAAGATAAGCGATCCCTTGCAGAATTGGAATTGTCTGTCATAGACACTGACAAACGCAGACAGGCAACCAGAGCAGACAGAGGGAGGCCATGGGGCGATTCCAAAGGAGGAGGAGAAGGCATTGAGAATCCACGCCTTGGGGATGCATAATAAAAAGGGAAGGTGTGGGCAGTGCTGGTTGCTGAAGGCAACGGATTGCAAAGTACTCAGGTTTCATGGAATCATGTTCTGTTTGCCTTGCCTGTGAACAATTCTCCATTTGCATCGTGTTTTGTTTGCTTTTGCTTTTGGGACATTTGGCAGCTCTGTACCTAATTAATAAAAGGGGTTTGTTTTTCCTGCATTTCCAGCCTACTTGTTAAAAGAGGGTTTGATCCTTGTGAGTTAACAAGGACTCACGTGGGATGGGATAGAATAACTTAACAACTGCATTACTAACTTAACAACTTGCAGTCATTCCCTTAACAGTGAGAAAAGTTGTAAAACGGGGCAAACAAAACCCGCTTAACAAATGTCTCACTTAGGGGCAGAAATGTGTTTGGGCTCGGTTGTGTTCGTAAATCGAGGATGAGGTGGGCTTACAAATAGATATTTTGCAAAACATTTTGGAAAGGTGGGAGCTTCCCAAAAGGCGGAAGGTGGAAAAAATCTTTTTTTAAAAAAAAAACCAAACATATCAGTATTGGATTCCAGTTAAAGGTAAAATACGAGAGAGAGAGAGAGAGAGAGAGAGAGAGAGAGAGAGAGAGAGAGAGAGAGGGGCGTAGTTTGTGCTTTTAAATAAACTTTTGACGCTTGTGCCAAAAGGTAATATTCCCAGCGCTTTAGCTGAGTGCAGAACAGCCCTTCCTCCATAAACAACTTAATCCACGTGTCAGGATCGTGAGCCAAATAAAGCTTTCTCTTGTAGAAATAATCAACTCTTCCCCGAGGGAGCAAAAACATGTTTGCTTGTAAGAATTATACTGTGTAGCTTTGTTTTCTGGGCATAACTTGTATTTCTCAAGCCTGGGTAAATTACCCCAAATTGGGTAAAAGTGACTTTTGTTTGAGAAACGCAAACCTATTACCCAATCACAACAGGGACATTTGAATAGAATAGAGCTTGGAGGTCTTCTAGTCCAGCCCCTTACTCAAGCAGGAGAACCTCTACCATCTCAGACAAGTGACTGTCTAGCCTCTTCTTAAAAACCTCCAGTGATGGATCGCCCATGATTTCTGGTGGCAAGTCGTTCCACTGGCTAATTGTCCTTATTGTCAGGAAGTTTCTCCTTAATTCCAGGTTGCTTCTCTCCTTGATCAGTTTCCAACCATTGTTTCTTATCCTGCCCTCTGGTGCTTTGGAGAATAATGTCTTGGTGGCAGCCCCTCAGATACCGGAACGTTGCTATCATGTCTCCCCTATTCCTTCTTTTTCTTTAGACTAGCCAAGCCCAAGTCCCGCAGCCGTTCTCCATATTTTTTTAGTCTCCAGGCCTTGGATCATCTTAGTTGCTCTTCTCTGAATTTTTTCCAAACTCTCAACATCTTTTTTTGTGATATGGTAACCAAAATTGGCTGCAGTATTCCAGGTGTGGCCTCACTAGGGATTTATAAAGCGGTACTAATACTTTGCATGATCTTGATTCTATGCCTCTGTTTATACAACCCAGGATTGTATTAGCTTTTCAATATGGACTTTCTGATAAACAGCAAAAAGGTCTTTCCGATAAGTGGTAAAAAGGATTTTCTGATAAGAGACTGGCTAATGAAAGAAAAGGTTAGGGAAACAATGGGGTAACAGGAATTAGCAATGATCTGAAATGACACACGTACTTTATATGTTTTATTAAGTTCAACCGTAAGACAAAATACAGAAGGAACAAAACATTAAGAAACCCAAGATATTTTACTCCATAAATTTCATAAAGTTTCATCATTTATTTCATTCAATTTGTTTGCCGCCCATCTCACTTATCAGGCGACTTCTTGGGCGGCTTTACAATAGGAATAGGAGTCGGTTTCCACGTGACGGAGGGGATCCTGCAACGGCTGTATGAAAAAAAGGTCATAAGTCTCTTTTTTCAGTGCTGTTGTAAGTTCGGTCACTAACTGAGCTGTTGTAACCAGTGGTGGGATTGAAATACCCGAACAACTGGTTCTCTTATTGGATGCAGGCCTGGGCCTCTGAGGCCTAGAACGGACTTTGGGAAGAGGCATCCATGCACTTCCGGCGGGCCGTTCTAGGCCTGGGATGCCTCCTCCAGGCCTCCGAGGCCTAGAACGGACTTCGGGAAGTGGCATCCACGCACTTCCAGCAGGCTGTTCTAGGCCTGGGAGGCCTCCAGGCCTCAGGCCTAGAACGGACTTCGGGAAGTGGCATCCACACACTTCCGGCGCGCCGTTCTAGCCTGGGAGGCCTCCTCCAGGCCTCCGAGGCCTAGAACGGACTTCGGGAAGTGGCATCCACACACTTCCGGCGCGCCGTTCTAGCCTGGGAGGCCTCCTCCAGGCCTCCGAGGCCTAGAATGGACTTCCGGAAGTGGCAACCACACACTTCCGGCAGGCCATTCTAGGCCTGGGAGGCCTCCTCTAGGCCTCAGGCCTAGAACGGGCTTCGGGGAGTGGCATCCACGCACTTCGGGCGGGCTGTTCTAGGCCTGGGAGGCCTCCTCCAGGCCTCCGAGGCCTAGAACGGACTTCCGGAAGCAGTGTGCATTCAGCCGATTCTCCTAACTCAGCAAAATTTAGCTACCGGTTCTACTGAACCGGTGCAAACCAGATCAATCCCACATTGGTTGTAACTCACGGACTACCTGTATAAGGGACTCTTAAATGAATACCTGACACTTGATATCTAATACATGCCTGAAAGTGTTTTTTGTTTTTTTGTTTTCCTTTTATTCCCACCAGGCTCTGTTATGGACAACCTCACCAGATTGAATTTTTTTGAGAAAACAGCCTTATGGGACTTGTTCTTCCCCAGCGTTCACGACGCCGTCCTGGCCAGCCAGGCGATTGGCTTCTCTTCCACCTATCTTTAACTCAGCTACTCCATTGTGAACTACGTGGATCTATTTCCAAGGGCTCCTGTAGACAACTTATTTAATTTGCGCAGATGACAGAGCCTAGACAAGCCACTCCTACGGGTAAGATGTGTCTGCACTGCACCGCACCGCATCAACCTGTTCCCTGCCAGCCCTGGGTTCGAAGACTCCAGAAGCCTTAATCTTTTCAAACGTTGTCACTGAATTCAAAAGTCGTTGATGGAAGCGTGGGATAAATGCAAAGATTATTTGTAGAGCGCGTGAATGTTTTGTCTGTTTTGTTGTGTACGTTTGGCAGTGTTTTTGTTTTGAGTTAGCTTGCCGGAAAATATTAATATTATTTTAACAGTGTCTTCCTGACATGAATTGGAGTGACTGTTGAAAGGAGCTGTTGTATGTGTGATTATGTATTGTGTGTTTGTGTGTGTGTGAGAGAGAGCTCCTCTAACTTGAAATGCAAACCATTTCCAGATTTTCGATGCAACGCCATTTCCAGATGCAGAAATCAGTGCTTTTTCATTTGATGACTACTAAGAGAAGCATAAACATTTTGTTTCGAACGAGCCCTTTAGCTCTATTTTATTTTAAATTATTACGACTCCAGAGTTAACAGATCATTTTCACGTTAAGGAGGTTTACTGTACTGATCCAATGCTAACTAACCTTAAGCAAGGTGCATTTAAAATTAGCTGGGAAATGAACAATACATAATGCACCTGCTTAGGGGGAAAAGAGAGAACATAGCACCCAAAATCTACTTTTTTACACTTAAAGCTAGCTGGGTACAGTTACTACAGTTACAGTTACAGCTAGCTACGAATTGTCTGGAAAGAAAGGGGGGAAAAAATGAAGAAATGGCATTTTCCAAAGTAGAGTATCCTGCTCGGTGTATTTTCTGCGCAGTGACGTATTTTTAAGTCACAAAAAGATTGTTCCGAAAAATCTCATGATGGCACTCCTGAGGCAGTTGGCTTTCTTGAGACAATTCTCAACGCAGTGTGGGATCGGTGAACAAGCCTAACAATTTAAGTTGTCGTGTCCAGCGGTGGGTTGCAAAAGGGACAAATTTGTTGTATTGCGTAGCACGCAGCTGGATGCCCTATGCAGTTTTGGTTCAATTGTGCTTCCTCTCAGGTAAGTAAATACAGGGTTGGGACATTGCCACCACATCACCGAAAAATAAAAAAAAAAATGGAGGAATTTGATTTCTCCAACTTTACTAAATAAGCCTTAAGCATCCAGGGGGGTTTCTCCCCCCACCCCCTCCACAGTTCCTGCCTTTCTGCTAATGTTGCCAAACCCTTACTTGTCCTGTTGTTAGAATATTGTGAGATAAATCTGGTTTTTCTTCCGTGGGTATGTTTAAACCAGAGGATATTGGTGTATCTGTGGAAGGCTGTTTACATTTGTTTCTTTTATATCTTCAATTTTGAAGCAAATATTGATAACTGAACTCGGTCCATCGCAAGCGGTTTCTTTTAGCATCGATTTGCAAACTTACAGAAGTTTCTGGAAAATAAAACTTTTTAAGCTATTCGGGTCATCCCTCCCGCACTCTGTAATAAAAAAGTTAATTATGCTGTACAAAGGCTGTAGGACTCTGATGCTCTGCCTTTTTCGTATTATATTTAAAAGAAACTAGCCTTTGGCAGCTGATGTGACTTGCTAGGGTTACGTAAGACTGCACTGTGAATCCTGATCTCTCTGCAACGTAGACCGTGACTTTTATTTAATGGGTGAGATTGCATTTAAGACAATATATTCTATCCACCGCCCACTGTGGCAAAGCCTTGTTGCATTTTATAACCGTTTCTTTCAGATAGGAGTCAAAAGTTAAAACCTCTAATAAAAAGATAAATCTTGAAATTTCATTCCCTGGTCATTTTTTGTACACAGCCAATTCATTCATGTTGTTATGGGGATAAAGCTACAGATGTATACTATGTTGGGCCTTTGCTGCTTCATCCATTGCTTCCAACGGGTGTCCCAAGATTTGTGGACTTCAACTCCCAGAATTCCATGCTGGCTGGGGAATTCTGGGAGTTGAAGTCCACAAGTCTTAAAAATTGCCAAGGTCGGACACCCCTGGCTTAGAATGAAGACTCTAGCCAGGGTAAAATACCTTATCTTCTTATTCTAAATCAGTGTATTTCAACCTTGACAATTTTAAGGCATGTGGACTTCAACTCCCAGAATTCCACAGCCAGCAATGCTGGCTGTGGAATTCTGGGAGTTGAAGTCCACATGCCTTAAAATTGTCAAGGTTGAGAAACACTGTTCTAAATGTATCTTCTCATTCTAACTTTCCTTCCTCTTTTTTTTTTTTTAAATGAATTTCGCCGCTCCTGTGTTCTACTGGACTCTAGTCCTCAAAGCAGCTGGGAAAAAAAAAATATCTCGTGTACCACTTGCTCACCTGTAGGGAGACCTGTCAGTCAAGCCACCACTGTGCTTTTCTCAAGGGTGTTCCTGTCTCAACGCTTAAATCTAAAGAGGATTTATATTTGGTTCAGAAAGTACTGAATTAAACCCACAGGAAGTCTGTAGTTGAGTTGGCTTTCACAACCTTTATTTGAGACTCACAATAAAGCTAAACGGTTACACTTTCAAGAACGACCACTGTGTAAGTTGGAATGTTCTCTTTTTTACTTCTACTCGATCCGGCTACAATACGGCACTTTGCAGAAACAAGCTTCTTCTTGAGGGCTCTCTGACAGATCCGAGATTAGTTGTAGGTCATGTACCGAGGGGTAGCACTGAACTTGGCGTATGACTTGATGACTTTGTTCACAGCATCCAGGAAGTCCTTCTCGGTGGCGATTTTTCGCCGCGCCCGGATAGCAAACATACCCGCCTCCGTGCAGACGCTGCGGATTTCGGCACCTGGGCAGGAATACAAAGGGATTTAAAAACAACACAAAGCGTAGTAACAAAGAGCGTGAGAGGGTGACCCGACAAAAGCTACAATGTTAGGAGCCCTGGTGGCGCAGTGGTTAGAATGCGGTATTGCAGGCAAACTCTGCCCACTGCCAGCAGTTCGATCTGGAGTGGATCAAGGTTGATTCAGCCTTCCATCCTTCCGAGGTTGGTCAAAGGAGGACCCAGATTGTTGGGGGCAACGGGCTGACTCTATAACCCCCTTAGAGAGGGCTGTGAAGCGGTATATAAATCTTAAGTGCTAGTGTTATGTTTAAACTTACCAGTGCTATTAGGACACAGCCGAGCCAGCAACTCGAACCTTATGTCTCTTTCAACGCTCATGGAACGGGCGTGGATTTTGAATATGTGAGTTCTTCCCTAAAGAAAGAAAGAAACAGAACCAAGCTTTGGTTAGGACAGGCATGGAGGAAATAAGTTGGAGGGCTTAATAAGTTGGAGGGCTTAGCAAGTGTTGAGCTTCCTTAAAGATCAGTTCTCAAGAGGACTCCTGGCTCAGAGAATGAAAATAAATAATGATAATAATGATAATGACAAAGAAGGAAGGAGGAAAAGATGATGGAGGAGGAGGAGGAGGAGGAAGAAGAAAGAAGGAAGAAAGAAGAAAAGAAGAAGAAGAAGAAAAGAAGAAGAAGGAGAAGGAGAAGATTGAAAGGGACCCTGGAGGTCATCTAATCCAGGGGTAGGCAACCTTGGCTCTTTTATGACTCGTGGACTTCAACTCCCAGAATTCCTGAGCCAGCATTCTGGGAGTTGAAGTCCACGAGTCATAAAAGAGCCAAGGTTGCCTACCCCAATCTAGTCCAACCCCCTGCTCAGGCAGGAAACCCTACACCATTTCAGACCAATGGCTGTCCAGTCTCTTCTTAAAAACCCCCAGTGTTGGAGCATTCACCGCTTCTGGAGGCAGGTTGTTCCACTGGTTAATTGTTCTCACTGCCAGGAAATTTCTCCTTAGTTCTAGGTTGCTTCTCTCTTTGGTTAATTCAAGAAACACAGTTGCCCTGCCCTTCCTAAGACAGGCAAGACAGATGAGCTTTGAGCATGCCATTGTGTGCCAGTGACAAATGGATAAGAGATGAAAGCTGGGTAAGGATGAGTAAGTCGGGGAGTAAAAAAACGGATGGGCTATACAGGTGGAAAAATATGGGAGAGCCACTCTAATCTAGCGGTTAAGGCACCAGGCTAGAAGACAGTAGGCTGTGAGTTCTAGTCCTGCCTTAGCCATGAAAGCGGGCTGGGGGACCTTGATTGGGCTAGTCGTAAAATGGGGCAAAACTCCCTTAAAACCAATTTCTCACTCAGCAACGGAAATTTGGGGGGTCGTTAAGTTGAGGACCCCCTGTACCGGCGTAACATTCATCAGTATCACCATTATCGTTATTATTTAAGAACAAGAGCAGTCGATACCTCTAGATCCGGAAGGCTAAATTCAATCTTCCGATCCAATCTTCCAGGCCTCATTAAGGCAGGATCCAGAGTATCAGGCCTGTTGGTGGCCATCAAGACTTTGATGTTCCCTCGCGGGTCAAAGCCATCCAGTTGGTTGATCAATTCCAGCATGGTGCGCTGGACTTCGTTGTCTCCGCCGGCCCCGTCGTCGAAGCGGGCACCTAAAAGGGAGGAGCAGTTCAGAACCGTATCCTGACCCAAAAGGCCGACTAAAACCCAGGCGAGTTATGGATCCCAGGCTTCAACACGGATTGCTCGTGCTAGTAGCTTGCAAATGAATGAAGAGCAAATCAGAGCAACGGTTGCTATCCAGAGGAAAGAAGCAGAGTTTCATTGACATTATTAAAAAAACAAGATTCGCAGCGAATGAGTCCAGCACCCGGGAAATCAGGAGCAGGGGTCTTCAAACTTGGCCCTTTTATGACTTGTGGACTTCAACTCCCAGAATTCCTTAGCCAGCATGGGGGAACTATGGACCCCTTCATGACTTGTGGACTTCAACTCCCAGAATTCCTCAGCCAGCATGGGGGAACTATGGACCCCTTCATGACTTGTGGACTTCAACTCCCAGAATTCCTCAGCCAGCATGGGGAAACTATGGCCCCTTTATGATTTATGGACTTCAACTCCCAGAATTCCTCAGCCAGGCATGCCTGGCTCAGGAATTCTGGGAGTTGAAGTCCACACGTCATAAAAGGGCCCAGTTTGAAGACCCCTTGACTTGTGGACTTCAACTCCCAGAATTCCTCAACTAGTGTGCCTGGCTGAGGAATTCTGGGAGTTGAAGTCCACCCGTCATAAAAGGGCCCAATTTGAAGACCCCTGATCAGGAGATTCAAAGGAGTATAAACATTTATTGCTCAAGCTTCCGTTCTCTACAAGAATCTGCCGGAGTGACCATTAAGGGGAAACGCACGGGAATTAAAAATATAAAGGAATTCAAGGTGGGCTGGATTTCGATCGCTTGTGGGTGCGAGGGGACCCGTGACGTACGACACGTTTCCTTGGGATCATCCTGGTCACCTCCTAACCAACATTGCACGAAGAATGAAAGAAATGGACACCAACCTCCGATGGCATCTATCTCGTCGAAGAAAATGAGGCAGGCCTTTTTCGTCCTCGCCATTTCAAACAGCTCCCGGACCATCCGGGCCCCCTATAAAACCAAAGAGGAGGAAAACGTGGATCATTTTTCCCAATCTGTTACGCCCTTCAAAATGTCAAAAAGCAGATCCTACATTGGTCTACTTGAACCTGGGACAGAATAGCCTGAGATCAAAAATCATTTAAAAATACATAAAGCTGTGTTAGTTGCAGATGTTTCCGCATCCGTCGTGAAGATCCTCCTCATCGTCAAAGTTGAAAGGGACCTCGGAGGTCTTCTAGTCCAACCCCCTGCTCAAGCAGGAGACCCTACACCAGCGGTAGGAAACCTTGGCTCTTTTATGGCTCGTGGACTTCAACTCCCAGAATTCCTGAGGAGCATGGCTCAGCTTGGAAACCTCTCCCTTTCCCCTCCGCGTGGCTGGCTCAGGAATTCTGGGAGTTGAAGTCCACGAGTCATAAAAGAGCCAAGGTTGCCTACCCTGCCCAAATGCCTGAATTTTGATCACGTGACCGTGAGGAAAAAATATTTAAATATTTAAACCAGGGGTCTTCAAACTTGGCTGGTGGACTTCAACTCCCAGAATTCCTCAGCCAGCATGGAGGAACTATGGCCCCCTCATGGCTTGTGGACTTCAACTCCCAGAATTCCTCAGCCAGCATGGAAACCTCTCCCTTTCCCCTCAGCGTGGCTGGCTCAGGAATTCTGGGAGTTGAAGTCCACCAGTCATAAAACAGCCAAGGTTGCCTACCCCTAGCCTATACCATTCCAGACAAGTGATTCTCCAATCTCTTCTTAAAAGCTTCCAGGGATGGGAGCACCCATAACTTTTGAAGGCCAAGGGAGTGCCAAATGCACCTCAACCTGGAGCTCGCTTCTCAGCTGCAGAGGCCTTTCCTGAAGGCCTCTGACGGAAAAATGGAGGTTATAATAATAATATAATAATAATAGAGTTGGAAGGGACCTTGGAGGTCATCTAGTCCAACCTCCTGCTCAGGCAGGGAACCTTATACCACTTCTGACAAATGGCTGTCCAGTCTCTTCTTAAAAATTTCCATGTTGGAGCATTCATAGCTTCTGGAGGCAGGTGGTTCCACTGGCTAATTGTTCTAACTGTCGGGAAGTTTCTCCTTCGTTCTAGGTTGCTTCTCTTCTTGATCAGTTTCCATCCGTTGCTTCTTGTCCTGCCTTCAGGTGCTTCGGAGAACAGCTTGACTCCCTCTTCTTTGGGGCCGCCCCTGAGGTACTGGAACCCTGCTATCAAGTCCCCCCTCGTCCTTCTCTTCGTTAAAGTATACATACCCAATTCCAGCAGCCATCCCCAGGTTGGGGATGACACATGCAAGAATGGGGCTGGTGAGGGCTGGCTGCAACAGTAAGCAAGGGGTAACTCCACCCCCCAGCTTGATTTTGAGATGAGCACCTCACCCCCAAACTAGGGCTCATTTGGGGGGGTAGGGCTTATATTAGGCCCACCCACCAAAATCAAGCTAGGGCTTATTTTCGGAGTAGGTCTTGTTTTCAGGGAAAGCACGGTAGAGTAGCGTTTCTCAACCTGGCCAGCTTGAAAGCAGGGTGGACTTCAACTCCCAGGATTCCCCAGCTAGCTGGGGAATCCTGGGAGTTGAAGTCCACCCCGCTTTCAAGCCGGCATGGTTGAGAAAGGTTGATCTAGAGAGTAAGCAAGCATGAAAGTCACAGACTCCAGCTTGCAAGCTGTTTCCTCGACGTGATCCCCTACCTCTCCCACGTATTTCTGCACCAGCTCGGACCCGATCACGCGGATGAAGCAAGCGTCCGTCCTGTTCGCCACGGCTCGGGCGCAGAGAGTTTTGCCTGTCCCAGGGGGGCCAAAGAGGAGGACTCCTTTGGGGGGCTCGATCCCGAGATTGACAAATCGTTCCGGCTGCAAATCGTAGGGGGGGGAGAGAGGGGAAAAAAACAACACAAAGAATTGGGGTTAAAATCGCTAGAACGTTCACAATTCCTTCAATGGCTTCGGCCAGCAAACACACCAGAACAAAGAGCTTGCCAGATAATAATAATAGTAATAATAGTAATAGTAATAATAATAACAATAACTGGAGCACCACTTGAACACCATCGGCATTGACAAATTCGCCATTAGTCAATTGCAAAAGGCGGCCTTACTAGGAACTGCTTCCATCCTGCGACGATACCTGTAATACCATCAAACATCCACATCTGCCTATCCCAGGTCCTTGGGAAGGACTCGATAGGTAGACAAAATGCCAAATCCAGTCTGAACATCTGGCTGACTGTGCGATGATCCATAATAATAATAATAATTAATAATAATAATAATAAAGTTGGAAGGGACCTTGGAGGTCATCTAGTGCAACCCCCTGCTCAGGCAGGAAACCCTATACCATTTCAGTCAAATGCCTGTCCAGTCTCTTCTTAAAAACTTCCAGAGTTGGAGCCTTCACCACTTCTGGAGGCAGGTTGTTCCACTGGTTAATTGTTCTCACTGTCAGGAAGTTTCTCCTTAGTTCTAGGTTGCTTCTCTCCTTGATGAGTTTCCATCCGTTGCTTCTTGTCCTGCCATCAGAGGCTTTGGAGAATAGCTTGACTCCCTCTTCTTTGGGGCAGCCCCTGAGATACTAGAAGACTGCTATCCTGTCCCCCCTCATCCTTCTCTCCATTAAACTAGACGTACCCAATTCCAGCCACTGTTCCTTATATGTTTTAGCCTCCAGTCCCCTGATCATCTTTGTTGCTCTTCTCTGCCCTCTTTCTAGAGTCTCAAGATCTTTTTTACATCGTGGTGACTAAACGTTGTTTAGAAGACGAAGGCTGCTCTTTCGAAGACAGCAAAGTCCACATTTTGGACAGAGAGGACCGCTGGTTTGAAAGAGGGGTCCAAGAGGCCATCTAGGTCAAAACTGAACAGCCCTCTCTCAACATAGGGGACGGGGATACGACACCCTCTATCTCCAGTCCACAACACAATCCTTGCAGCAGTGCCAGGAAGGCTCCACACCCATTTGCACCACTCAGGAGACCCTGAGGACACAGGTCAACCTCCAAGTGGCCTCAACGACTCTCTAAAAGGAGGCAAAGGACCAGCTGTCTGCAAGGAGTATCAATCCTTCCGTTCTCCACCCTCCAGTCAGAGCTGAAGAAGCTTCCTGGATGAGAAGCGAAATGTCTCCAAAGGAAAAACAAGGAAGTCCAGTTGCCTCCTGAAAAAAGCATCTCAGGAATAATCACCAGGTGCTTATTAGCGCCTTTCACTGATTGCTGAGAATAACTTTTGATCTCTTTCTCCTAGCAAGCCAAGATTCGAAGCCAGCAACCCACCCATGGCGTCTGAACCTGTCTTTTTTAGGACAGGAACAAGACACAGGGTCTTATTCAGGTGCCCCAAAAAGCAAACTGCAGGAGGAACATCCGGTTTGCGCCCTCCTTTCTGGTCCAAGTCAAGTCAACGGCAGGCGGTCCGTTTACGACCGAGTGGAAATGTTTCATCCTTACATGGAGCAAAGGGGTTTCCACCACCTCCCTCAGCTTCTCAATCTGCTCTTTGCAGCCTCCCACGTCGCTGTACGTGACATCGGGCTTTTCCTCCACCTGTGGGACCAAACAGACATCCGTCAGGCAGCAGAAGGTTTGTAGATCTTCCAACAGATGGAAAAAGTTAGGGAGGAGGAGGAGAAGGAGGAGGAAAGAAAAAAAGAAAGAAAGAGGAGGAGGAGGAACAAGAAAGAAGGAAGAAGGGAGAAGGAGGAGGAAAGAAAAGAAGAAAGAAGAGAGAAAGAAGAAGAGGAGGAGGAAGAAGAAAGAAGGAAGAAGGGAGAAGTAGGAAGAAAGAAAAGAAGAAAGAAGAGAGAAAGAAGAGGAAGAGGAGAAAGAAGGAAGAAGAGAAGGAAGGAAGAGGAGGAAGAAGAAAGAAGAGAGAAGGAGGAGGAGGAGGAAAGAAAAGAAAGAAGAGAGAAAGAAGAGGAAGAGGAGAAAGAAGGAAGAAGAAGGGAGAAGGAAGAAGAGAAGGAAGAAAGAAGAGGAGGAGGAAGAAGAAAGAAGGAACAGGAGGAAAGTAAAGAAGAAAGAAGAGAGAAAGAAGAAGAGGAGGAGGAAGAAGAAAGAAGGGAGAAGTAGGAGGAAAGAAAAGAAGAAAGAAGAGAGAAAGAAGAGGAAGAGGAGAAAGAAGAAGAGAGAAAGAAGAGGAAGAGGAGAAAGAAGGAAGAAGAGAAGGAAGAAAGAAGAGGAGGAGGAAGAAGAAAGAAGGAAGAAGGGAGAAGTAGGAGGAAAGAAAAGAAGAAAGAAGAGAGAAAGAAGAGGAAGAGGAGAAAGAAGGAAGAAGAAGGGAGAAGGAAGAAGAGAAGGAAGAAAGAAGAGGAGGAGGAAGAAGAAAGAAGGAAGAGAGAAGGAGGAGGAGGAGGAAAGAAAAGAAAGAAGAGAGAAAGAAGAAGAGGAGGAGGAAGAAGAGAAGGCAGAAAGAAGAAAGAAAGAAAGAAAGAAAGAAAGAAAGAAAGAAAGAAAGAAAGAAGAGGAAGAAGAAAGAAGGAAGGAGGAGGAAGGAGGAGGAGGGAGAAGAAGAAGAAATAAGAAGGAGGAAGGAGAAGGAGCAGAAGGAGAAGGAGGAAGGAGAAGAAGAAAGAAGAAGAAATGTGAAAGAAGATGTGGAAGATGAAGAAGGAGGAGGAGGAGGAGGAGGAGGAGGAAGGAGAAGAAGGAGAAGAAACAAGAGAGAGTCTTCACCTGCATCATAGTGACTGTTGGGTCAATCTTTGGAGGCAAGGGGATATGGATCTGATATTTGTTTCTGTCCACACTGCGGAGAGAACGGAAAGCCATATTTTGAGTATGTCTTTTCAAAGCCCTTCAAAAACATTCCTCCACACCTTAAGAAAGGGATTGTGCGTGCCAAATATTGACACAGTAACCCAACAGAGCTGCAAGGCACACGTCGATAATATCAGCGTTAGGATTAACCTCAACTTTTCCCTTTTTTGCTATGCCTTCTTGCAGCTGAGGTATTTTTAAGAGTGGGCTAGTATTTCAGAAGAAAGCAGAACTGACTGCCAGCTCTAGCTAGATATTGCAATAATTCCAGCTGGGTTGCATTTTACACACCCTAACGACCACATCAAAGGCGGATGAAGATGGCAACTAGTTCAAAAGGCCACGATTCGCTTGCAATGTCCCCCAATCATAATGATATAAAACAGACTTTTGAAATCTTGGGCGTTACCAGCTGGATTCTAAATGCAACTGTTTTGATTAAACTCTTCTCTTCTTTACAGAATTACCAAATAACAAGAGTGTGAAGGGACCTTGGAGGTCATCTAGTCCAACCCCCTGCTCAGGCAGGAAACCCTATACTATTTCGGACAAATGGCTGTCCAGTCTCTTCTTAAAAACTTCTGGTGTTGGAGCATTCTGGAGGCAGGTTGTTCCACTGGTTAATTGTCCTCACTGTCAGGAAGTTTCTCCTTAGTTCCAGGTTGCTTCTTGCCTTGATTAGTTTCCACCCGTTGCTTCTTCTCCTGCCTTCAGATGCTTTGGAGAATAGCTTGACTCCCTCTTCTTTGGGGCAGCTCCTCAAATATTGGAAGACAGCTATCATGTCACCCCTAGTCCTTCTTTTTATTTTTTTCATTTTTCTTTCCTTGACCTGGCTCTCCTTAGATGCTTTCTGCTACATTGACCATCATCTTAAATGTAGCATTAGCTAAATGAATGGATGTAAGTCGAGTATTACCTATCCTATAGTCTACTCTGAAGGCTTGCTTTGCACGTGTATCCTAGTGGGACAAATCAAAAAGGCATGTGTTTTTAATGTTAAGGTTTTTCCAATACTTAGCTGTACTGAGAATTGTATTATCGTACGTAGAGGTAATTTTTTTGGGGGGGGGAAACTGCAATATGAAATACGTCCCGCAAAATTATATTTAAGATATGTCGACCTTTACGGTTGACGTATCCCAAGATAATAACACCAACTCACCCGACTCTCATTCCTTCTTCGATGTCAGTAGGTGCCACTTGGTCACTGAGGTCCACCACGAATTTGGCAAATTGCTTGACATTGATAATATACTTGGGGTCCTCGGAATCCGCATTGATAATCTTTGTACACCTAAGCCAAAGAGGAGATGAAACCAGCAAAATAAAACGCCTAGTCCAGGGGTAGCAATCTTGGCTCTTTTATGACTCATGGACTTCAACTCCCAGAATTCCTGAGCCAGCTATGCTGGCTCGGGAATTCTGGGAGTTGAAGTCCATGAGTCATAAAAGAGCCAAGGTTGCCTATTTATTTTATTTATTTCTAAAATTTATATGCCGCCCAATCCCAAGGGACTCAGGCCTACCCCTGGCTTAGTCGCTAGTTAATACAGTCTTAGCAATAACAGCAATCAAGGAAAAATATATATACTGAGAAGAGCTGTGTTATTCCCATTCACCCCTTGGATTAAAAAAAACAACTCTAGGACAAACACCATTTCAAACTGAATAAATGAGTCAGCTTCTGCAAGTGGCAACAAATACTGGGGCAAAACGTTCATGAAATTAAGAGGTACATAAGCAACTTTCTGGGGACCGGCTCCCTGCAAAGGCCAACATCTTCACCATCTTTTTGAAAAACAGCCTTATATTGGAAGCCCTTAGAAAAGGGCTTTTCAACCTTTTCACCCATTGTACCACTTTTAGGATATGGCAACATCCGAGGACCACCAGTCGCCTAGCAAGGAGTCAAAAACTTGATGACCCAAAAAAAAAAAAAAAAAGGAAAAAAGTGATAAAGTACAGGTAGCCTCGACTTACAACAGTTCGCTTAGTGACTGTTCGAAGTTACAATGGCACTGAAAAAAGTGCCCCCCAAGCCACAACCAAGCAAGACACCTGCCTGCCTGCCCGCCCGTTCTTGCTCTTCCTCCTGTCCGAGGTTTTCATTGTTGTGAACATTTCTGTTGAGGATTGACAGCGGAGGTAGGGTGGGGGGCTATTTGGTTTTTATTCCCCCCCCCCCCCGTCTGCTGGGTGGTTGCAGCAGGTTTTGGTCACTTCACATGACCCTGGGACACTGTGACCGTCATAAATATGAATCAGTTGCCAAGCATCTGAATGTAAATCACAAGACCCTGGAGATGCTGCAACATTCCAGCTGATCGGCGCTTCTTCTGGGCTCAGCAGAAGCGCCAGGATCAGTGATGCTTTCCAGCTGATTGGCGCTTCTTCAGGGCTCAGCAGAAGCACCAGGATCAGCGCCGAGCTCCAGCTGGAGCCAGGCGTTGATCCTGGCGCTTCCGCTGAGCCCTGGCAGTCCCGAAGCGCCGATCAGCTGGAAAGCGGCACTGATCCTGGCGCTTCCGCTGAGCCCTGACAGCCCTGCAGCTCCAGATGTCTCTCGCTCAGGCTTGTGCGGTGCTGCCACCGGTTCAGCTCATTCCCTTCCCCTGCTACCACTTTTCTAGGATGGTCACGTACCACCTGCCAGGTGCCACTGTACCACAGGTGGTACCCGTACCATTGGTTGGAAAGCCCTGCCTAAGATAACTTCATTCTTTAACAAAAAAGTACATGTTGTACTCAAAAGACAAACAACTATTTATTTTAATAGAACTTGGCTGCGTCACCGGCTGAACAATAAAGTTGTTATTTATTATTATATTATGACATACCTGGCCACCTGCAGTGGCTGCTCACTCTGAAGAGTTTGCTTATCAGCTGCTAAATCCCAAAGGGCGGGTGGTGCCAGGCCAGTGTCTGATTCTTTAATCCCTACAAGAGGAAAAAGGGAGATTAAAGGAAATATATATATATATATATATATATATATATATATATATATATATATATATATATATATATATATATATATATTCAAGCATTAGCTTACGACAGCCAATTTAGAACTGCCAAGTCAACTCAAATGTGACAAAAATAAATCTTCTTTTAAAGTCGGGGCTATAATAGGGTCAAAAGCAAAGGTCACCAAGCTTGGCAACTTATGGACTTGTGGATTTCAGCTCCCAGAATTCCTCAGGCAGCCCTGCAGGAGATGCCTGCAGATGTTCGCAGTCAAAAGAATTTGAAAATCTTACAAGGTGAATAGAAAACAGTTGAGTCCTTTTTACAAATTGTACCCAGAAAAATCATTCTTTAGTAGATTCAAACTGAGGCATCCCAAATCCTAAATCTTACTCTAAAATTAGATGTTTTCCCTCGACATTCTTGTTGTCTATTTTCAATGCCAACATTCTTAAGCTTACGCTTAAAGCATCTTCTCTTATGTGATTCCACCTATTCTACTTCCCCTTTTTTCTGTTGAAGAAGTACTTTAATTTGTTTTTGTTTTCCTTCCTCTTTTGAACTTTTCTGAGGAATTGCCTCAAATGACAGAATTTCAGCCCACTAAACAGTCAAGGCCAGCAACTGTCAAGGCCCATCAGACAGATTTACTGCTTCTAAAGCACTAAAAGGGATGGGGGGGGGAGTACCTGTGAGTTCATTAATTTTCTTAAGCAACTGTTGAATGTCATCTTCTACTTGTTTGATTTGCCTCGAGTATGTGCTCTGGCCCTGGATTTGAAAAAAAGATTGGGAAAAAAAAATGAGGACTATTTGCGTTACTACAGCCTTATGCAATCTATCCCAATTCCTGTGATGTAAGGCTAAGGCCTTTATTAAGTTGATCGTTGTTTAACCTTGGCCTGTTGTTAAGTAGTTCTTTCCAAGCTCTGACACGAAATGCTAAAGAATAAAGCTGAGAACTCCTGCATGTTTGAGCCTCAGCCCAATGTTTATTTAATGTTTGCTAAGACCTACTTTGTTTAGAATTGGAACGTTAGAATAGGAACACATAACAAGCTATTCTCCAAAGCCCCTGAAGGCAGGACAAGAAGCAACAGATGGAAACTAATCAAAGAGAGAAGCAACCTGGAACTAAGGAGAAATTTCCTGACCATGAGAACAATTAACCAGTGGGACAACCTGCCTCCAGAAGTTGTGAATGCTCCAACACTGGAAGTTTTTAAGAAGAGACTGGACAGTCACTTGTCTGAAATGGCATAGGGTTTCCTGCCTGAGCAGGGGGTTGGACTAGATGACCTCCAAGGTCCTTTCCAACTATTATTATTATTATTATTATTATTATTATTATTATTATTATTATTATTATGGATCATCGCAGTCAGCCAGATGTTCAGACTGGATTTGGCATTTTGTCTACCTATCGAGTCCTTACCCAGGACCTGGGATAGGCAGATGTGGATGTTTGATGGTACTACAGATATTGTCGCAAGATGGAAGCAGTTCCCAGTAAGGCTGCCTTTTGCAATTGACTAATGGGAAATTTGTCAATGCCAATGGTGTTCAAGTGGTGCTCCAGTTGTTTTGGGATTGCACCCAAAGCGCCTATTACTATTGGTACTACCCTTGCTTCCTTATTATTATTACTATTATTACTATTACTACTACTACTACTATTATTATTATTATTATTTTCCTGCAGGCATTCTCAAAAAGGTCAAAACTCACACAGGAGCTAAAATATATGGACTTAGAAAGATAAATATATCCTCCGTGCCTACATTTTCTCTAAAACTGCAGATACCTTGGCATTTAAGATGTTACCATTCAGACATCAGAGGGGTCAACTCCACAGTACTCTGATATTAAAATTAATCTACCAGTTTCTAAAGAAAAACAGTGGGGTGTGGTTGAGACAATCTGCAAACCAAAACAACAAGACTAAATTCATCCCAGATTTATCAGGAGATGAATTTAGATTTCGTGGTTTAAATAGAAGCCTTTGTTTCTGATCATCCAGAAACTCGTTGCCAGAATCTTTGAACCACATTTAATCACCTTTTTTTCATAAAAGACTTTCTCTGTACTTAACTGTTGCTTCTTTTTTAAATTCCTCTTACCCCCCCCCCCTCCAACTAATATTCTGTGTCTATGTATAAAAAATACTCAGAGGACAATACTCCCCATACACTATCACACGGAAAGTGAAATAAGAAAATATATTTGACAATCAATTAGTCTTTTAAGAGGCCACAAAATGCTTTCTCATTTAAAGTTGCAAAAAAAAGCTGCAAAAATATTAATGTGAATGTTCCTCTGGAAACTTTATCAATTTGTTTACTGCAGATGCTTCCAAACAATTTTATGATAACCAGTTCTCAAAGTAATGCTAGAAGTGCTACATGGAGTACTTACGTAAGTTTTCAACAGGGCAATGTCACCTTCATCCAAAGCTGAAGGACATAACAGAGACAATTTAGAAAAATAAAGAAATGATGTTTTGACCTTGTTTCCCAGTCAACCCATTTTATCATCATGTATTACTATATAACCTTAAAGAACAACAACAAAAATATCTGGAACTTTGTTCCATTATTTCATCCTCTACGTAGAGAATGGTTTGGGACAAGAAGATATTGATTCACCTACAGCTCAATACTATAGGTAATTCCGGGATATAACCCAATCAGAATTGCAAGGACGTGTAAATGGGGCTTATAGTTGCATTCAGTCAGAGTTTTGTTCCATATAGTGTGAACTCCAAAAGTTTCTTCTTTCGTTGTGTATTCAAGATGGACTGTGATTAATATTTATGTTATTTATATGTAAGGCTATAGGTTTATACATATGTTGTATATAGCAGGTTTAAATGTGTGTTAGGTATGTGTACACTTTGAGAGCAAGCAACTAAATTTCATTTTTAATGTGTGCCAATGTGCCTACAGTAAAAACATGACAGTAAAGGTTATCTATCTATCTATCCATCCATCCATCTATCATCTATCTATCTATTCATCTGTCTATCCATCCATCCATCCATCCATCCATCCATCAGCTATGTATCTATGTATCTATCATTATCTATCTATCATCTATCATTATCTATCATAATCTATCCATCTATCATTATCAATCAGTATCTATCTATATCTATCTATCATTATCTATTCATTATCCATCCATCCATCCCTCATCTATGTATCTATCAATCATTATCTATCATTATCTCTCTATCCATCTATCATTATCTCTCTATCCATCTATCATTATCTATCATTATATCTATCATTATCTACCTATTCATGTCTATCCATCCATCCCTCCCTCATCTATGTACCTATCTATCAATCATTATCTATCATTATCTCTCTATCCATCATTATCTATCTATATCTATCATTATCTATCTATTCATGTCTATCCATCCATCCCTCATCTATGTATCTATCTATCGATCATTATCTCTCTATCCATCATTATCTATCTATATCTATCATTATCTATCATTATCTATCTATTCATGTCTATCCATCCATCCATCTATCCATCCCTCATCTATGTATCTATGTACCTATCTATCATTATCTATCATCTCTCTATCCATCATTATCTATCTATATCTATCATTATCTATCTATTCATGTCTATCCATCCATCCATCCATCCATCTATCCATCCCTCATCTATGTATCTATGTACCTATCTATCAATCATTATCATCTCTCTATCCATCATTATCTATCTATATCTATCATTATCTATCTATTCATGTCTATCCATCCATCCCTCATCTATGTACCTATCTATCAATCATTATCTATCATTATCTCTCTATCCATCATTATCTATCTATCTATATCTATAATTATCTATCTATCTATTCATGTGTAGTCATCCATCCATCTCTTATCTGTCTGTCTGTCTGTCTGTCTGTCTATCGCACAGAAATTTAAGGGAAAAATGGATTTATATAAATGCCCTTCCTTAACCAGCCTGGCCGACCACCATCAAGCCAATCTCAGGCTTACATTCAGGGAGGGGCGACTGGCCTTCTCCCAAGGAGCCCAGCCAGCCTTGTGCCCCAAACCTCGGAAGGATGGAAAGGAGACGCGCGTTTCAATTCCAGCGCCTGACTCTCCCCTATGGCTGCATTCACACACCACGCCAGACCCGTGTTTAGGCCTTTCGCCTTAAAACTTTCCAAGAAACGGCATCACAAACTGGCTGCCCAGCTTGCGTGCACGCATCTATGGGGAGGTTTCACTCGACCTGGTTTAACAAAAGGGTCGTGTGAATGCAGTCGCCTTATAGGAGCCCGGGTTATTATATATATATATATATATAAAATATTCTTTTACCACGGATAGGCTTATCCTCCTTCTCCTCCTCTTTGGTTTTGCGCTGATCGGTCCCCAAATAATCCGGCATCGCGGCTTCCCCACACAGCAGGCCCGAACACCGAAACCCGAATTAAAGTGGGTTTTTTTCCTCCCCTACGGCGCATGCGCAAATGCTACCGAACTAGCGGCTTGCATTACGCAGCACCTTGCTTTTCTTTCCTTCCGCGGCTCAGCGGAAACGCCCCGCCGGAAGTCGCGTGTGGGGGAAGCAAATAAAGGTAGGAACTACTCTATGATCCTTCCCCCCCCCCCATGCGCACACCGCATTACGCAGCACACCTTGCTTTTCTTCCCTTCCGTGGCTGGGCGGAAACGATTCGACGGAAGTCGCGCGTGGGGGAAGCAAATGAGGGTCGGACCTACTCTATGATCCTTCCCTGGACCAGTAGTAGTCATGAAAATTGGGGGGAAAACGGGATTTTTTCCCCCGTTTTTCTCCCCCCCCCTTTATCTAAACACCTGTGTTTCTGTGTACTTGTGTTGTGTGTGTGTTTTCCTTTGGTTAAAGCAGTGTGGCTGGCTGGGGGGAATTCTAGCAGTTGAAATCCACCCTTCATGAAGTTGTCAAAGTTGCAAAACCCGGGTTAAAGCAGTGAGAACTGCCAGATAAAACTTGATTTTCTCCTCTCCATTTGAAAACCCAAATCCAACCCAATTGAAGGGGGGAACCCCAAAGGCCTCCTCTTCATGCCATTCAATAAAAGTAGCAGAGTTGGAAGGGACCTTGGGGGTCATCTAGTCCAACCCCCCTGCTCAAGACCCTATACCATTTCAGACAAGTGGCCGTCCAGTCTCTTCTTAAAAACCTCCAGTGTTGGAGCATTCACCGCTTCTGGAGGCAGGTAGTTCCACTGGTTAATTGTTCTGTCAGGAAGTTTCTCCTTAGTTCCAGGTTGCTTCTCTCCTTGATTAGTTTCCATCCGTTGCTTCTTGTCCTGCTTTCAGGCGCTTTTTTCTTTCACTTTTTTCCCCCTTTTGTTTTTTCCCCCTTCCATCTCGCCCCATTGAGACCCAAACTCTTTCAGTGGGGAAAGAAAGAAAGAAAGAAAGAAAGAAAGAAAGAGAGAGAGAGAGAAAGAGAGTGAGAAAGAGAGAAAGAGAGAGGTAAAAGAGAAAGAGAAAAGCGAATGAAAAGAGAAAGTGAGAAAGAAGGAAAAAGAGAAAGAGAAAGAAACAGAAAAGGGAAGGAGAAAAAGAGCAAGAGAAAGAAGGAAAAGAGAAAGAGAATGAAAAGAGTGAGAAATAGAGAAAAAAAGAAAGAAAAAAGGGAAGGAGAGAAAGGGAAAAGAGAAATAGAGAGAGAGAGAGAAAGAAAGAAAAAAGGGAAGGAGAGAAAGAAAGGGAAAAGAGAAAGAGAGAGAGAGAAAAAGAAAGAAAAAAGGGAAGGAGAAAGAGGAAAAAGAGAAATAGAGAAAAAGAAAGAAGAAAGGGAAGGAGAGAAAGAGAAAGGAAAAGAGAGAGAAAAAGAAAGAAAAAAGGAAAGGAGAGAAAAAGAAGGAAAAGAGAAATAGAGAGAAAAGGGAAGGAGAGAAAGAGAAAGAAGGAAAAGAGAAATAGAAAAAGAAAGAGAAAAAAGGGAAGGAGAGAAAGAAAGAGGGAAAAGAGAAAGAGAGAGAGAGAAAGAAAAAAAGGGAAGGAGAAAGAGACAGAAACCCCGCCTTCCTGCCAATAGCCCCTCCCCCTCCAAAAGCCCCTCCCCTCCCCCGCGACCTCACCTGCCCCCGCGGCTCTTCCCCCTCCCTGCGAGAGAAGCGGGGGGGGGGGAGGCAGGAAGCGGCGCTGACCTGGCGACCCGGAAGCACTGCCCGGCCCTTCCACGCGCCGGCACCTGGCAACCCGCGAGCAGGCCCGAGCGATCCCGGCGGGCCGCGATGCTGCGCGGGGCGCCCGAGGGCCAGGCCACCGCCGTCGCCAGAGCCTTGTCGGCCGGTAGGTGCCGCCTCCGCCCGCCGGCCGCCCCCGGATCGGGTGACGCCCCGGCCGCCCGGCAGAGCTGGCCGGAGAGCGACCCCCGGGTGGCGCCGGGGATGCTCCCTGCCCAGCCTGGGCTCCGGGGGGAGAGGGGCCCGACTGGGAGGCGGAGCGGGGCGGGACGGGGGTCTTCCGGGGAGGGGGTCTCTGGGGTGCCCGAGCCTCTCCTCCTGGCCGGGGAAGCTGCTTCCCCGCCTTCCCTCGGGGTGGCTGCCTGCCTGCTAGGGAGAGCTGCTCCTGTTGAATTACGGGCGCCGACAGTGGGGTAGCCTCTGGCCGGCCTTGTCTGGAGATGGATAGGGGACCATGAGGAGATCCATTGGGAGGAAGGGGGTGAGTAGGCCCTGCCCCACTCACCTCTATCTATCTATCATCTATCTCTATCTATTATCTATCTATCATCTCTCTATCTATCTATCATCTCTCTATCAATCTGCCTGTCTATCTATCTATCTATCTCTATCTATCATCTATCTATCTTACTCTGTATCTATCTATCTATTATCTCTCTATCAATCTGCCTGCCTATCTATCCTCCCTCTATCTATCTATCTATCTATCTATCTATCTATCTATCTATCTATCTATCTATCTATCTATCTATCTATCTATCTATCTATCTATCTATCATCTCTATCAATCTGCCTGCCTGCCTATCTGTCTGTCTATCTATCTATCTACTATCTATCATCTACGGTCCGTCTGTCTATTTATCTATCTAACTATCTATTTCTATCTGTCTCAATCTGTCAGACATATATATATCTGACACACACACTCAAACACATCTGTCTGTCTATCTCAATCTGTTATATATATCACACACACTTATATCATCTGTCTATCTTAATCTTTCTGTCATATATAGACAGATGATATATATATATATATATATATATATATATATATATATAAAACATCTGTCATATGTATATCATCTGTCTATCTCAATCTGCCATATATATATATATATATCAATCTGTCATCTATTTCTATCATCTATCCACTACCCATTTATCTCATACACATACACACAAACACACGAAAACGTATACACAAACATATAATCTATATCTCTTTCATCCATCTACTCTATAGCTGTCTATTTCTGTCTGTCTATATCATATCATCTAGATCATCTATTATATCTCATTTATCTGTCATCCACCTATCTACATCATCCATCCGTCCATTCAGTTATCTATCTGTCAAATTGATTTGCCATCCGTCTCGCAGCTCAGGTGACTCTGAGAGGCTTACACCAAGATAAAGATCTGTCTGTCTTTTTGTGCCCTGGATGAAAAGAGGTCCAGAATCAGACCACCTGAAGCTTTCCGGGGGTCTTGGACTCCTCAATTTCCAGACAGCAGGTTGCTCCAGACGGGGCTTAAACATGGAGTTTGCTTACCATGTTTTGCCCCTGAAACATGTGAATGGAGATTCCCAGTCAATCCAGGTCCTGGTTGACCCAAAAGTGCTTTTTTCACGAGGCAGCTGGACTTTCCTGTTTTTCTTTTGAAGACGCTTCGCTTCTCATCCCTGAAGCTTCTTCAGTTCTTCAGCCCCAAGGCCTGGAGGGCTGAGAATCTCCATAGACATTTAAGTAGACGGATAGATGAAGCCTTTTGCTATTGTGTGCATTTCTGTTGTTTCATTTTGGCCTAAATCAATCCTTGATTGATGGTAACATTGTGCAATAACTTATCAGAAAGAACAAAAAAAAATCAGGTTGTGTTTTATAGGCCATTTTTAAGTGAGCGTAATATATTACTAGCACTAGTAATAGTGGCAATTGCTGTATTCTAGATTTGTTTTCAACTGTCTGGATTTGTTTTCATCTGTCACGGAAAAATGACTTTGTTTCATTCTTTAATTATGCAGACATCTATTCTTGCTCAGATAAAAGTATTTTCAGGAAATAAATTTTACTCATTTTTAAGGAACTTCTGATTATAAATGTTTATGTAGATTTTTTTTTCCTTTGTCACAGACTCCACTAACAAAATACACATATACATTTCTGGCTATTACTTTTTTCTTTGTTTACGTTGGCTTTACTCAGTTTTAATTGTCATTTTATGTGTCCTTTTATTTCAGTCTTGACCCCGCTAACTACGTAAACAGTTTTCTTAATAACGCTGTGGGAAGTGGTTTTAATAATAATAATTTATTCTTGGGTGCTTTTCAGCTTCTCTCCTTGATTAGTGGAAACATAATGAGAGGTCTTCCCATTTATGTATCTATTTATTTATTTTTATACATAATTCACAGCATTGAATATGCCTTCTTCCCCCTGTTTTTCCCACAAGAGCAATCCTGTGAGATGGGCTGGGCTGAGAGAGAGGGATTGGCCCAAAATCAACCAGTTGGCTTTCATGCGTAAGGCGGGACTAGAACTCTCAGTCTCCTGGTGATTGGCCCAAAGTCACCCTGCCGGTTTTCATGCCTAAGGTGGGACTAGAATTCTCAGTCTCCTGGTGATTGGCCCAAAATCAACCAGTTGGCTTTCATGCCTAAGGCGGGACTAGAACTCTCAGTCTCCTGGTGATTGTCCCAAAGTCTCCCAGCTGGTTTTCATGCCTAAAGTGGGACTAGAACTCTCAGTCTCCTGGTGATTGGCCCAAAATCAACCAGTTGGCTTTCATGCCTAAGGCGGGACTAGAACTCTCAGTCTCCTGGTGATTGGCCCCAAATCAACCAGTTGGCTTTCATGCGTAAGGCGGGACTAGAACTCTCAGTCTCCTGGTGATTGGCCCAAAGTCACCCAGCTGGTTTTCATGCCTAAGGCGGGACTAGAACTCTCGGTCTCCTGGTGATTGGCCCAAAATCAACCAGTTGGCTTTCATGCCTAAGGCGGGACCAAAACTCTCAGTCTCCTGGTGATTGGCTCAAAATCACCTAGCCAATTTTCATGCCTAAAGCAGAACTAGAACTCACCATCTCCCAGTTTCTACCCTGGTGCCTTAACCCCGAGACCAAACTGTTCTAATTGTCGCAGTTCAATGATAGGGCCCCCGAGTGCTCATGAATGAAATTGCTAAATGCTAAGGACATTTGACGGAGATGAGTTCAGCGTTTGGCGTGTATAATAACATGTCGTTTTGTTCGAATGTTTGTATTCACAGCTTCTGTGCTCTGCCAAGTTGAGCCTGTGGGAAGATGGTTTGAAGCCTTTGTGAGGAGGAGAAACGTCC